ACATAAATCCTAGAAGCATGCCTCTCGACAAGCAATCACATACAACTTACAAAATCCTCCATCTCATAAGATCAACAAAGAAATTTTTAATTGAACAAAAAGAATCTTTCACAGAAACAATGTCTATATAAATACTCCCACAGGTGTAAACTTGAGAAAATTTCTGACATAGTTCTGAATATAGTAAACAGAAGCAACCAAATTGAAGTTAGAAAAGCACCTCACCAGAGGCTCTCCCTTTGGACCACATAATTGGAATTTCTAAAATCCTTTCAAAAAGCTGTAAAAAGAAGACAACATGAAACATGACACATTAGCAATCTATCATCTAGGTTGCAGGCAGCAAATAACTTGGCAGTTTAATTGTATATCACATCCACAGTATACCTTACCGGAACAAAGAGGTTTATAATTTTTAAATTTGCATGCCATTGCTGCTCAATAGTGTCAACAAAAACATCTGCAGACAACGAGCCACCATCTCCAGATATCACATCTGATCTCCACATCTTACAGTTGCCACTCAGTTGTACATACACACGGCTGTAGTGCTTTTGAAGCTTCACATGTCCGCTAACATTCTCCATCTCTCTAGACAGTGCATTGATAGTTTTGTCAATGCAGGAATAATCAGATGACCAAGTTAATTAAAAATTACCTTTTTCTTGATGTTTTGTCAGTAAAAAGCCTATTATAATTACATAAATCTTCTCATTTCTTCTTTTATCAAGTTAATGAAAATTCCGGTGTTTTTCATGCATTACGACATTCCATTAGGAATGCAGTAACACTTTGACTTAAACTGTGAATCACTTAGTTATTACACGTTAACTAAAAACTGTGAATCACTTAGTTATTACACGTTAACTAAAAACTGTGAATCACTTAGTTATTACACATTAACTTAAAACTGTGAATCACTTATTACACTTTAACTTAAACCATGAATCACTAAGTTATGAAATTCTATGAATAAATTTTTAAGTTACCCTTGATGCAAAAGTTTAAGCTGATAAGTAAGGACCCAACAACAATATTTAAACTCTAACATGCCCAATCATGTACACTTGCAAGTGGATTAAACACAAATATAANTAAAAATTACCTTTTTCTTGATGTTTTGTCAGTAAAAAGCCTATTATAATTACATAAATCTTCTCATTTCTTCTTTTATCAAGTTAATGAAAATTCCGGTGTTTTTCATGCATTACGACATTCCATTAGGAATGCAGTAACACTTTGACTTAAACTGTGAATCACTTAGTTATTACACGTTAACTAAAAACTGTGAATCACTTAGTTATTACACATTAACTTAAAACTGTGAATCACTTATTACACTTTAACTTAAACCATGAATCACTAAGTTATGAAATTCTATGAATAAATTTTTAAGTTACCCTTGATGCAAAAGTTTAAGCTGATAAGTAAGGACCCAACAACAATATTTAAACTCTAACATGCCCAATCATGTACACTTGCAAGTGGATTAAACACAAATACAAACAAATATACAGCTATAACCACCACCACAATTTATTAGTATAATTAATAGAATGAGAGGATTTCAACACAAGACACTTGGTTAACTTGGCCATGATACTATGTTAAATTGTCACTTGATTCAAAAAACATAAGCTGATAAGTAAGGCTTCAATAATAGTATCAAGTTCTATCATGAACAATAAAAAAATAAACTTGTTTAACTTTCCATGTGCAAGATGACTTTTATCAAAGAGTTCAACAAGTGAAAACATAATTTAGTAGTTGACTCTAGAAATTATGTAATAAGAATAGCTCTCACCTAGGCTCCCTATCACCATATGCAAGCAGCATCAGTGTTCCACCTTTGAAATGAACAGAATCCAGTGTTACTGGAAGCATCTTCCCAATGCCTTCATTCTCCACTACATATACCCCATCAACCAGTTCTGCAACAACATCTTCAACATTTGGACCCATGCCTGACTTCAATTCTTGAAAAGGGGCAGCAAAAAAATTAGATATTAATTCCCTTGCATTTCTAGACAAAGAAAGTAACCCTGATTTCAAGTCTAATGGTCCATTGGGAACTAAATCAGAACGTGCTGCCAGAAATTCAGTATTTGCAGTATAATTTTGTGATGCATGATCCGCTTGGCTCTCAGATATATCATCATTCATACGTTTATTTACAACTTCAACCACTAAGCTCTCATTGTTTACACTACTACTATTGGTTTCAGTAGCTCCTACGACATTAGAAACAGATGGAAAGTTTTCAGAGATTTTTCTAACTCCACTAAGTCTATCTATGGTCATAAGAAATGGATCGCGTAAAAGATCAAGTTTGTTTACATAGCCATTGACATATTGGTTTGCAGTTAGAGGATGAATTTTTCGTTCTTCGTGTTGCTTTTCATTCTGGTTAGGAGCTAGTAAGAGATCTTGACAACTACTCCCGTCAATAGAAGTGCCAGCATTAGTATCACTCTCACTTTTCACCAAAATATTGTCAAAGTTCAATACATCATCATTTCCAGATGCAAGTGAAGGTTCTTCAGACTTCCCTTGGGATTGACCCTGGAAATATGCCAGGGCTGCTGACGCACTGCGCTCAAGGATTCGACTTTTGGCTGAAACGCCAGCTGCAGAGATATCAGTCCCACTAGCTTTCTTCAACTTGTGCTTTTTAGGTCCCTTTATCACTTTAGACCAGAACTTCAGTCCCGATCCAGGGATCTTGACACCAAATGATTTCTCCAAGTCAGCATGCTTCATATCATACTCAACACCTGTGTCCATGCATTGATGATCCCTCCAGTGCATCTTTTCATCCATGCACATAAAGGACTCAGAAGTTGCTAGCTCTGTAATATCTGTTGAATGACTTGCCTCCTTCAAATCATAATCTGGGGATGGACAGGAACTTTTCTCAGAAACAATATAACCTATCTCTGCAGCTTCCCTAGCCATATCATCCCTATCTCTGGACCAATGAGCAGCCGCTTCCTCTCTGGCAATCCTCCTGGTTTTAGTACGATAATCAATCCCTTCTTCAGTTGATAAATGCCCCTGTGGACCACCACCTTCAGTTGAGGGGATTCCTAACCAAGAATAATCCTTCTTTTGCACAATCAAGACACTTGGATGAGACAAAACAGCATCAATCACAACCTTTCCCCTCCTCAAACTTGAAAAAGGATGAACACGAAGTTTCATAGTCGGAACCTCACCACAAGAAAACTCCTCAGAATGAGGCCCAATCGAGCAGGACTCCAACGTAATGCTCAAAGGTGAAACTCTCCGTACCTTACCAAAATCTATCTCACGCTCAATATATTCACTGAGCATTGAACAAACAGAGGGCAAAAGCTTGGCTTCAATAAAACTCTTGGCTTTTCTCTGCCCATACCATACCAATAAGCAAACCCCAGATATGACAGCTATTAGAACAGAACATCTCACCAACAACAAACCCTCTTTCCACAAAGGTTCCAGTGACTTCACTAGAGCCTTACTTTTTGCAAAGGGTTCTTTCACACAATTCACCACCAAGCCTTTTCTTGAACCAATGGATTTCCTCAATAACTCCACATTTTTTCCACAAAAATGAGAAAACCTAATTGCTTGAGCTATCCAATCATTCTGCCTATTCTCACACCTGAACTTGCGAGAAGTCCTTCTCGGGAATTTCCGTCCATTCAAATATAGGCAGTTGCCAGTATTTCGACCATTTAAAGAGCCATTTAATGCAAATCCAAGAAATTCGCAATCAAGTTTTACACTCATTATTGTTCTTGTAAACTAACTTCACACCTCATCTGCTGGGGACCAAGAATCTGCTCTTAGTCCCCTTACAATTCAGATTAACGCAGAGTGGCCCAGCATTCAAACCCTACGAAAATGGATAAATTACTTAATATATATATAAAAAATTAAAAAAATCGGTTGCAATAACAAAATTAAAAAAAAAAAAAAAATTCACAAACAAGTAAGCGAAAATACCTGAAAAGCTGAAACGGAGCATTTGATTAGAATTATGAGACTGCTTAATATATTCGTTTACTTTTACGTTTACGTTTCTGGCTTTTAGAATCTCTTTTGGCGAGACAGTGATGATTGCTTGCTTGGCTTGGCTTTGCTTTGCCTTGCTTTTGATGGCTTGAGTTTTTCTTTTGTTTTGTTTCGGGTGGGAGGGAGAAGAGAGGGATTTAGTTTTTGTTATTGACGGAAATGCCACCAAGAAATATGAAAAATGGCGGCCACGACCTTTATCTGATTATCATTTAGAGCAAGAGTAATATTACAGTTATTGAACGGTGTGTATCGAATAACTTAACAAAATCCTAATTATTGATTCATTATAAATTAATATTAATAACGGTTAGAATTTTATTACATTATTCGATACACAAATTTAATATGTACCTTTTGGTAATTCTACTATTTTCTTTTAAATATATATGTTCAATCGTTGAAAAAATATGATTGGTTGCAACAAAAAAAAAAAAAAAAATCAACCAACTGGCTGCATGTAGAAAATTACCCCCGACTTGTCGTTTAAAGAAGAAATATAATTCTGCGATACTAGTTGCTTAAAAAAATATATTGGGTTTAATTCTGACTGGTGGTAAGTGGTTAACGCTTTGATATTCTGGCGTCCCGCGTCCGTAGTTGGCAAAGCAAATGCAACAGGTTTATTAGCACAATTAACCATGATAAATACTGAGTAGCCCACTTAAGATGACAATATAAATGGGCATATTAGTTTAAATCTAGTTGATTTATTGCAGAGTTTCATCGAAACTGAAGAAAATCAGCAGTTCTTCTCATAAAGGTGAAGTTCTCAATTTTACTTGTTAGCAGTATAAGCAAGTATATATCATGACTATTTCTGTGAATTTTTTTTTTTTTTTTTAACTTTTTATTATTAAATAGTGAGTTCTTCAGTAACTACTACTAGTTTCAGTTTAAAACTTTAAATCAGGTTTCTGAAGCAGAGGTGCTGAAGAGCTTCTTATATATCCCTTCAGCAAAAGAAACATGGATTTAGTTGTTCTCTTCATTGATCAAATACAATACAACTTGTAAGAGAAGATTTGCAAGCTTGTAGAGCTAGACTGCAAAAAAATCATGCAGTACTCAACTGAACTTAAAAATTAATAAGTTTTACACTATTGTTATTTGGGGGCAGAGACAAAAAGGAAAAAGAGAGAGAGAGAGAGAGAGAGAGAGAGAGAGAGAGAGAGAGTTTTGTCACCAAAATCTCCATGGATCCTTGTATGGAGGAATATAGTTATCAGTCGGAGGTAGAAGGCGAAAAGAGGCTACAGTTCTTTTCAAGAAAGGTCCCATCTGCATGACATAAAATGTGATTTTTAGTTGGGCTTAACTTTCATCAACTCCTTCCTTTTAATTTTCCTCTTATTCTAATAAAAAAGATTCTGAAAACTTACGTCACTTAAAATATTTGTCAGAATCTAACGGGCAAATATACAGAGTAATACTTGTATGCAATAGTGAACTTAGTGGAGTAAGCATACAAAATGCCATTTTTTGTAGGTTGATAGTGAAATGCAATTGTCATTTATACAATAATGATGAGATTCTTTCAATAGAATTACGCAATTATCAATTAATGAAAAGAGATAGAAAGAGAGAGAGAGACCTTGTCCCACTGCTTGCCGAGGGTTGAAGCATTTATAGAATAAAGATAACCTGAAATTAAATTTTTAGCGTTAAATGAGAAGTCCCAAAGTGCAAAAGAGGAAGAATTACAAAACCCTAAGCTGAGTGATCATGCACCAAGTTAAAATATTTTTGACCGATGAACCAGGAATCTCATCAGACTGTATTTAACTTTCTTTTGTATCTAACAACATCAGAAGCTTTCAAGCACCTGATCTATGCATCTCAAGAAGTTTAAAGTTCAAACAAGGCCTGAATGAAATTTGATACCAGCAACATGAATGGAAGACAAGGAATAGTACAACTGAAAATTTTATGGTCATACCATCTCGTTCAGCGGTTGAAGCAACATAATGTCGATAAAGATTTGCTTCCTGAGCCTGGAATTGCATTCAAGAGATCACAAAATAAACAGTACACACATCTTTCCACCATGACTTGCTATTGAAGAAGAAAACACTTACAAGATTGCTAGGTGATTTCCGAACAAGATATTCGTAGTAACAGTATGAGTCACCATCAATCTGAAAAAAGTGAGATTAAACACTAATTCCACATGAGCGCAAACAAACATTTATGTGATTATATGCATATGTAGTGATTGTAGACACATACTTCATCACTATGTGCATCAAGAACTGAACTCTCCTCCATGCGTTGACTTGAGGTAACTCGCTGCAGAAGGATATACATGTTAAAAATGGCTTCAGGATTAAACTTTTAGGAGAAAATTGAACACAAAAAACTTCTCTATGGTTTATTTTAAACTTTCAAGCATGCCCACAAATATATGGTACATTCGATTGGATAATTTAGTATGCAGGAGATAATTATGGTTTAATGTTGTAGTTTATACATCAGCATTAACTTACAATTAATAGGTGGAGATAATTGTTAAATTGCAGTTTTACATTATAAAACTTTGAGAAAATACCAGAATTAAATAATATATCATAACTTAGCACATTTCTCATACCAACGGTTGAAAAAACAGTATGAGATCTATCATTTGCATGTGATTAAAATAAAGACTCACTGTAAGAGACAGGCAAATAATTACCAATGCAGACTTATCAGACAAAACGGAATCAGCAATATCTTTCGGACTCCATGCACTTTTTTCCTTTGATTTTAAGATCTGTAAATTTGGAGGACCTATCTGAAACAAAAGACATAAATTCATAAAACTTGAAGAGATACTAAAAGGGAATCGCATTATCAAATATCTGGCTGTGTCAAAATTTACCGAAACAGAAATGATAAGGTTATCAATAATGTCAACACGCTCAGAGACTATGCGCAGGCGAGCATCAGCTGTATTGTATCCAAAACAATGTATAGTTACTCATACAAATACTATGATAAAGTATTGCATAAAACATGGAAAGAAGTAAGCATGTTGGTGGAGGTTTCATCACAATATCAAGTAGAGGTAAATATTTGAGCTTACGAGATAATGGAGCAGCAGATGAATAGCGTTCTGGCTTTCTGGATTCCACCCTTCGAGAAAGAGCAAGACAAATAAAGGAGAGCATTAGTTTGCTTCTGGATGATAATATTGCAAAAACAGTAATTACCTCCATCTCAATTTAACAAAATACTTTTGAACAGCACTGATCCATGCCATTGACAATGAAAGAAAATAAAGATGTCCCTTCTAAGAAAACCCCTAGTTTGAATCCACCTAAAATAGTCCCTACTTAGTCTAAACTTTACAACAACATATCATCTTAGAAAGAAAATTTTGTAAAGAAACATATGGCCATGTAGAGAGAGAAGAAGGTAAAGTAGTTTCAATATTTACTGACAGCGATGATGATTATCTGATGATATTTTAACTAATTCCTTGACCTCTCATTGATACAAACTGAACTTTAATATTGTTCAGAAACAAAAAATTTGAATGTGGGAGATTTGTTCTGTGAAATCATTTAGAGGAGACTTTAGACATAGTCCAATGAACCTTCTATCCAACAATACAATCATCCAGTTTGAGTTAAAAAACCAACAGTCACAATGCAAAGATAAAGAGAGAATGCAACAATCTAAACCGAATATATATAGCAAAAAATGTACCATTTAAAGAGGAAATTCTTAGACGGCAACTCCACCGGGTACAAATAAGAATAAGCATTTATATCATCAATCATTGAAGCCATTTTCAGATCCTCCTCAGCAAGTGATCCTGCAAGAGGCATATTATAATATTTGGAAAAAGATAAAATGTAGTAAAGATCAAGTAATTCTAGTAAAAACTAACAAGAAGATGCTCAATCTCCACCTGGCTTGACGAAAATGTACATATAAATTATCCGAAAAAAATTTAATAACCATTCTGTCGTATTATCAACATTTTGTATTAAAAAAAATCACCCATACAGTCCAGCTAAACTGAAAATGTATAGTGAATCTTAACTAAAGAGACTACAGAGTAACGAAAAAAAGGAAGCCAAACCGGTAAGGACTAAACTACTAAGCTTATTACCTGAAGATGGGAAGACCAAAGATACGGATGAGGAGAGCCCAAATAAAACTAAATCCCTTCTCCAAATCCCATTTCGGGAAATGGGTTTCGTAGAAGCTGAAGAGCACACAATCACCTTCTCTTGTAACCTGAAACTCCGTTGGCTTTGCACAGTACTCGCTTGGTTTCTGTTGGACAACCATTAAATAAGGAATAAAAGAATAACGGATGCAAGCGTATATGCATATAAAAGGAAAAAGAAAGGGAGACAGCACCTGAAGAAACGGAGGTTTGGGAGGGACAGAGAGGGGGAGAGAAGAACCATTGTTGTAATACCAGTCTCATCCACTAGGATTTTGCATTTTTAATTCAGTTTTTAACTTCTTTTAGCTACTTTCTTTAAGAAGATATTATTTTAAATAAATAAATAAAAAAAAAAAAAAAAAGGACAACTTTTTAAGAATAGTCCATTTCACTTTTGTATATTTAACCAAAATTTCACCTATTGTACTAAGATACCCTTATCATTATAATTGATTTCACATGTAAGCTTATAAAAGCTCGATGTTGTTACTTAATGATTTAGGGTGCGTTTGTTTATTATTCCTATCCACATTTCCAATCCTAGTCCCAAAATATTTATTTGTTTAATTATTTAGAAAATATTATTATATTTTTTAATTACTTTTAGACTCTTAATTTTATTAATTTCATTAAATACCCCCAGGAAAAAAAATTAAAAAATTAACAAAAACACCCCCACTCACCCATAGTTGCCAGATTCCGGTAACCACCATCGGTGGTAACCGAAATCTGTCACAACGAAAAGAAATTGTCGTCGTTGACCGACAACGACAGTCATATCTTTGGTTGTCGCTGAAGGCCAAATCGATACACGTGCGACAGATCCGACCGATCTAAGTCGTAATGCCAGATTTTGACGGTGGTGGCCAGAATTTGGCACTGTGGGTGAGTGGGATGTTTTTGTCATTTTACAAAAATTTTATATATTAGGGTATTTAGTTAAATTAGTAAACTTAAGGGGTTTTTTTGTAAATTTTTAAATTTTACCTCGTAATAATAACCATATCCAACTTTCTGATACTATCCCCAAAATCTTATTCAAAATAATAAACCAAACGCACCCTTAAATTCCAGTCATACCCCTTAAAATATTAATTTCTATTAATATATTTTATTCACATTTTTATTTTATTCAAATCATTAATTTACAAAATTAAAGTATTTTCATTATTCTCAAATTCATAATTTATAATACAAACTATAAATATATATCATCTTTAAAGTTGATAAGGATATTTATGTAAAAATACTAATTTTCCGATATTTTAAACTTGTAAAAACAAACATTTAATATTTATAATCAGATATTAGAAAATTACAAACAAACATGTCATAAATATTTATATCACTCTTACTCATTCATAATTAGGTGGTGTTTGGTAACTTGTATTATGATCGTATGGTACTGATAATTGAATAATTTTGAATAAATAAGAGTAAAGAAAATATTTACAATATGTTTGTTTGTAATTATTTAATATAACAATAATATTTAAATTTTACAAATAATTTGATTTAATTTTTAAATTGTTACCCACTATATCTGCTACAATAAAAGTAAAATAAGAACATGAATAAAATAGGTAATAGAGATTAAGGTTTTAAGGAGTATGATTGGAATTTAAAAATTAAAACAGGAATATTTTTGGAAAAATTATTTAAGACAAACAAATAAGAGCATCTTTAAATGACTTTTTATATGACCCAAACTTTTTATTATAAAGAGTTTATTCATAGAAACAAGAGTCCAACAGACTCTTTATTATTTAAATATAAATTAAAGAGTAAATTTGACTATTCACATTTAGAGAGTCAAATTTTACTCTCTATCCTAATTTTAAATAATAAATTACAAGTTTCAATGTATTTTATCTATGATTTATTTCTTTTATTAAGTTTCTTTCTTGAAAAAACATATTTTCTCTCATAAAATTTAAAGAGTCTATTAGATTTAAACAAGAAATTTATTCTTTATATTTAAAAATCAATAAAAATACTCTTTATTTATATGAAAGATGCTATTTAAAATAAAGAGCACGCTTTAAATCTTTAGTCTTTAGTTAAAGAGTAATACTACACTTACAAATAAATTTTATAAAGATCTTTATACAAAGTGATGTGACAAAAAATGAATGGAATAGTGAATTTAATGAGTTTGACTTTTTGTTTCACTCTTTCATTCATTTTTTGCCACCTCGCTTTGTATGAAAATCTTTGTAAGATTTCTTTATAAATATAGTATTATTGTTAGTTAAAAGTTACAAATTTTAACTTTTTCCATTACGAGGAATATGACCGATTTTCAATCTTATAAGTGATCAAATCAAATAATCAATAAATATCTGAATATAAAATATTCATTTTTTCGAAGTCTCCATAGATAATAACAAATAAAGCCTTATATAGTTATCAAACAAGTTACCAAATGTCATTGGAATATTAAATATGATATAAAAAAGGATAATTTAGTCTATTATGAAAAACATGGTTAAGTGCATTTTTATTTTATTTTTAAGGTGGATTACTTTGCAAAAAGCTCTAGATAGGGTTATTTTTTGGAGCTAATTAAAAGTGCCCCTAAAGTTTCAATATAGAGATACTCTTTCCCCTAACCCCTGAGATTTTGAAAATTTGTCAAAAACTACCCCTGTTAGCGCAATCTGTTAGTCTATCGTTAAATAAACGCAAATTGTCTATTACACCCTATCGTCTTTTACTAAAATTAAATTTTAATATTATTTTCTTTCTTTTCTTTTTAATTTCTATTTCCCATTTTCTGCCTCACCCAGTCAACCCCCTTCTTGTCGATCTGAACCTTATATCAAAACGGACCACCAGTATAAACACATATCATAGCGGTGGCCTAGTCACGCCCTTGCTGCGGCCCAAGCATGGTGACTTGCACTGGCGAACTCTCGACTTGCGATGCAGCGCTAAACCAATGCAACACTCCAACCATAAATCCATAATACACCGATCTCTTTTTCTTCCTCTCTCTTTTGCAACCAATACAATTAGCATCCAAAGCTAAGCTCCAAGAAAGGTAAAAGGATATCTTGTAAAACCCATCACCTGTTGGTTGGAATCTTCACTGGTAGCAAATCCTTATCTATCTTCACCAAAACCGCTCAAAGCCGAGCCTGGGCTGATTCCTCTCACTTGGATTTTATTCAATTTCCAAGAAGTGCAAACATATTCCAAATTCTTCATCAAAGACATGCGCAGAAAACGTGTTTTCTTAGTTGTTTAGATTATGTGAAATTAAAAAAGGACGAATAAGATGTTTAGAAAACATTGATTACGGGTTTTGTTTCAAAGTTGCTGGTGTGGATTGTTCAACGGGTAGGTGGAGAAGATGACCGGTGCAGAAGATGAGTGGTTTAGTATGACCTTTCTTCTTCTTCTTTTAATTTTTACCTAATAAAATTCCAGTCTTACCCTTCAAATGTAATGTGAAATTCATTGCTTACCCTTCTATCCTTTTAAACTTTAATTTTTGTGATGATGTCAGGTCACGAGGGTGGTATTTGACTAATTTTTTAAACCTTTAGCATGGTTTTCGTAGAATACCCCTAAAATCAACATCCAATCTTGACTTTTGGAGTTGGAATAATACTATACCAAAAACATTTTTTTATCAACTTTTTTATCGTAATTTTGACATGATAACTTGTAATTAATCAGTTCATAATTAATAAATCTTTTTTTATCAACTTTTTTCTCGTAATTTTGACCTGAAAACTTGCAATTAATTAATGAGATTCATGTAAGACTCATGTGAGACATGTTATAAACTGATCAATTATAAACTGTCACATCAAGATTATAAAAGAAAGTTTACGAGAAATGATTGTTGGTATAGTATTATTCTATGAGAAGTTATTATAATTAACTCATTTTTTATTTATTAATATAGTAAAGAGTAAACAATATCTACCCACCCAAGGTTTGACGAATCTATTGTTCCCACCCATGGTTTCATAAGTTCCAGATTTCTATCCTTAAACTAACACCGTTAGTGATTTTTGGGTTCTAATATAGTATATAAAGTGCTATTACCATACTACCCTTAACAAATAAATTAGTAAGTTACCTTTTAACCCCCAAATCAATAGAATTAAAAAATCATCTTACTTTCAAATATTTTTCAATAACACCCTTTTCTTCAATTTTTATAAAAATAACCGAAACCCTAAAGAGAGATGGACAACAAACGGCGGGCTAACGGGGTCAAGTTGGTGGGGGGTTTTGGAGAGCAGATGCTGGAGGTGGTGACAAGGGTTATTTTTTATACCAAGATTGACTATAAAAAGCTTGAGAAGTTGTGGACCAAAAGGTGGCGATGGCTAGCGATTGACTGAGTGAATGAGTGAGGTGTCATAGGGTGTTTGGTCTAATGGTTGAAGGTAGTAAGATAGTGGTGTTGAGGAAGGCTAATGACACTAGGTACAAGCCGAAAAATGGTTGTCGCGTGTGATGGAGTTGGGTTAAGAGAATTGACCAAATCGAGGGCTATCAAGGTTGGGAAATACTTGGGAAATGATAAAGTGATGATTTTTTTTTTTCGTGAGAAAATCGATCCAAATCAACTCCAAACGATTGTTGGTGATAGCGGCAACGATGGTACTTTGTTTATTTTGAGGTGTGAAGGGTTATTTTGAAACTTTTATTTTTATTTTAGATTTAATGTGGTAAAAATGACTTATTTACTCTTTAAATAATTTTCTATTAATTTAAAGATGAAAATTTGAAATTTATGAAACTATGCTAGCAACTTGTAGATCCGTTTACTCTATAACAAAAGACAGGTTAGGACAAGCCCACGACGTGCGTAACACAAGGAAACCTTGGCTCCAAACACAGCTCAAAACGGCACGGTTTTCAACTAAACGTCTTCGCTCCTGTTACTCAAAAGCTTCTTTTATTTCGTCATTTTTGTAGATCTCTTTGATCATCTGCTTTTTCGCTCTTAATATTGAAAAATTCTGGTAAATTCTTGTTTCTTCTCTCTTCTCGTATTCGTTTATTTAATTTATGCGATCTTAATAATAAATTTGAAATCGTGACCAGTCTTGATTACGGTCGATAATTTTTATCTGAAATAAGGTTTTGATTGAACAGTTTCTTTTTCTTTGCCTGATTTGATCAATCGTAATCTCTATTGTTAATGGAATGAGACAGGTAAATTAGTTGTCGTTCTTTCTAAATTATTTGCCGTAATTTGATAATCTCTCTTTTTCTGATTTGATATGTGTTACGCTGCCGAATTAATCGCTATTGCGTAAAACGATGAGAAATAAGGGAGAGGAAACATAAAAAAAAAAAAAAGGCTGATCAGCTACAATAATGAAAAAGAATTCACCCGATCTTGTTTTTATTAGGTTATAACAGAAATGAAATATTAAGAAAAGAGTTTGAATCAGTGTGCTTCACACACATATTTGAGTTGACATATTCTTTTAATAGATTGTAATTAATTTCAGATGCTTTGCTTTTCTTTCTTTCTTTCTTTTTTTTTAATTACGTGTTTTAATTGATTACATGGAGAATTTAGACTAACCCATTCACGCGGAACCTTGGCTTTTGGTTTTTTATTACTCAAGTTCTGACCATAAGTAATATGATTGTGTAATTAGCGACTTAGCTGTGTATTAAGTGGTTGATCAATATGCCTCTTCTTGCTTCTTTTTTTTACCCCTTTTAATGAACAGTGGCCTTTTTTTTTTTTTGGGTAATAAAAGCGATGAAGCCGGGAGTTTCTTCTTTAAATCCATATGCGGCAGCATATGTACCGCTCTCCAAAAGAGGGGGATATGATAGAACTGAGCCTACCACTAATGATTCTCAGACTGGCAATGAGACTGCCTGGTATACACAGCCTGCACATGTAACTCAGAACCAGCATCAGAGCAAGGTTTCTCTGGCTTCTTTTGCTCATGGTGCCAAAAAAGGTCCCATTCCTGAACAGTCTAGTGTGAAGAACCACCCTGTTCATGGTTCTTATGGTTCATCTTCAAGTAAGCAGATGATGGATGAGGAATATGACATGGATATGGCTTATCTGCAAATGTCATTTCCCGGTTTATCTGATCAGTCCCTGGATGATGTCTATAATGCGAACAAGCGCGACTTAGAAGCCACCATTGACATGCTGACCCAACTTGAGGTGAACTTTTAAACGTTTTAGTCTCTGAAGTTGTTGAAGAATCTTCATTAGATAGATTACTGTGTGGATTGTATCTATTCCATGTCTTTCCTTTGGTGGTTTGGTTTGCAAAGTTTAACAGTTGCTTGCATGCCTTTAGCATCAGAAACTGCATTACTTGAGTAGCACAAGTGTTCCTGATTCTATTATAAAACAAGACACAATACTGGCAGTGTGTTTTGTGTTTGGTTGATAAATGAATGCGGCATGAGAGGAATTGACTGGCTAAACCCACTTGAGACATAAATTTTATGCCATTATGACACACTTCAGTGTTTTTTGAGAGAACAACATGTCTGTGGATGATGAGCTATATTTACTTCTGAAATTCTATTGGAACTTGATATGGCAATCAGTTCTGGTCTATAGCAGACTCATTTTAAGACTTGCTTGATCTCATTTTCCTACCCTGCTTTTCTGAAACATTGTTAGTAGCTATTTTTGGCAAAAGGTGTTCAATAGCACCTCATCCTGTTTTCACACTGTATTTATATTTATCCTGTGATATTGTAGTTGATAGTTTTGTTGAAAAATGAGCAGTTGCATGTGGTATTTTGGAATGGTTGTTTGAATGGCAATAAAGAAAGTGCTATGCTTTTAGCTTCTCAGTTACTGTAAGAGGGCTTTATTTTTTTCTGCAGTTTGATGCTGTCGAATCTTCAGAAAATCTACCAGACTCTTTGGACATTGGTGATGTTCCAGAATCTGGAGCTTTATCTGAGTCTGCATCTTTTAAACTAAAGAATGTGGTAGGTGAAGCTAGTTCCTCTTCATCTGGTTCCTCTGGCCCGACTGTTGTCTCCTGAATGATTTTGTGAGAGACAAGTTCCATGTGTTTCCATTCTGCTCTTTTTTTTTTAACCATTTACAGCTTGTGGATAAGAAGCATGTAAGTAGGGGAATCTTTCTTTGGAGGTTGGCGGCATCATACATATGTTTGGTTATGGTTGTATAGTTCCAGGGTGATTGTGTCCTAAGCTTCTCTTCCCCTCTAGGTTTAATATTTGGGTTATATGGGTCAACAGCCCCTTATGCAATTATAATGCCAGATTGCAGTTTTCATCAATCATCAATCTAATTGATCTCTGATTGTTGGTTTTGATTTGATTTGGTATGTTATGGCGTGAAGATCATGTAGATGTAAAGTAGATTTGTTTATGTGATTGGTGAAAGCGCTTGTAATGTGCCGTGGTAAGCAACAGTGCAAATTTTAGCCTATTCATTCATGAATTTTCATGTTGTTCAAGAATCCATGAGATGTTTCTGTGTTTATATACCTCAAGAACAAACAGTGAAATTGATGTTCCAAGCGCTACAAATTTTTTTCTTCAGAAACACAACCACAATCATTCTTTTTCCAAGTTTGCTTTAGGGCACTTTTAACTTATGTAGACAATTTAAGATGGCAAATGTGGAATAAAGTGAGGCAACTACCAACATTACGGGGTGATGTGGTCAAATAAATCGAGGCAATTACATAAAGAGCTCAGCTTGCTTCACTCCCAAAACTGTCACCGAATTTATAACAGTGTATATTTACAATTTAATTTCACAAACTTTCTTTTATAGTCTTTGATATAGCAGTTTACAATTAGTCAGTTTGTAAATAGATCTTGTCTGCTCGTTATGGGTCTCACCAAATTTACAAACGTCAATAAACAAAGGATAATACTATATTTATAATTTAATCTCATATACTTTCTTTCATAGCCTTTGATATAATAATTTATAATTGGTTAGTTCATAAATAGGTTATTATGGTCTAGCCTGTCGAATTGGAAGGACAAAAAAAAAAAAGCCGAGATTAAGTGGGTTATAATTTCAGAGATTTTTAACGTGAAGTTATATGTAAAATTGACAAGAGATTTTACCACATTGGAAGATAATCATTGGGCAGGTCTGGATTTGGTGATGTGGCATTTTCAGTGGAGAACATGTTATGCCGGACATGAAAAATGCTAAAAACGAAAAACAAAAAAGTGAATGTTTATTTTATAGTCCAAACCAAAGAAACAAAAGCTAAAAACTATTCCGTTATTTTCGGTTATTTAATTTTAAGACAATTCTCCATCAGACGTGGTCTTAACCTGGAAAAATTAAGACAACCATAGATTCATTCACAGATTCTTTCTTCCCTTCAAACCAAACAAATATCAACCATTTCCATTTTAAAACACCCAGAAAGTCATTATTTGTTTTTGCAACTTTAGTCCTGTCTTGTCAAGAGATCTTGTTTTCATAATTTGTTTTATCTTGGTGATTGAAGGGCCTTTGATGATCTGGGTGTTTTCGGAATGCTGATCAGTTTATAGGAATATAATAATTATATATTATTGAGAAGATCATGGGAATTGATTATTATAACATATTGAGTGTGAACAAGAATGCAACGGAAGACGATCTCAAGAAATCATATAGGAAATTGGCAATGAAATGGCATCCTGACAAGAACCGCGACAACAAGAAAGAAGCCGAAGCCAAATTCAAGCAGATCTCCGAGGCTTATGAGGCAAGCCTTTGTTTTCTCAGTATATGTCCTCATCTTGGTTCTGTTTTTTTTGCTAAGACTTTTGCAACGTTTTCATATTGTTAAATGTTGTATCGTTTTGTTCTTTTTGACAGAAACAAAGAAAACAAAATTGTGAAATGGATAATATTTTGTGCTATATTTCTTTTTAATTTTTATGATTTTTGTTAAAATTTGTTGTAATGGTAATCCAGAAACAGAATAATCACAAATTTAAAATCTAATGATAGCCAAATGAGGTGTTGAAATGTAAGTGGTCATACAAGAAGGCTGGGAAATGAATGCATTATTGTCTAAATTGAGGAAAATGTTAGATAACGATGAAAAATTTAACTTGTAAATTTGAGTTATTTTTCTTTACCTACACATTTTTTTGCCATGAAATAGAGCTTATGGTACTGGTGTTTGCATACTATGAAAATTCGCTAATGTATTCTTCTAATGTTAATGTCTGTGGTTATAATGGAAATTATCTTTGAAGCAACTTAAGTGAGACATTGATGGGGTTGATCAAATTTGATGATGTATTGCGATGTTTCCCTGAATTCAGGTCTTAAGCGACCCTCAAAAGAGAGCGATTTATGATCAGTATGGTGAAGAAGGGTTGAAAGATATGCCACCATCTGGCAGTGGTGGATTCCCCTTTGGAAATGGTAGTGGTGGTAACTCTAAAGGGTTCAATCCTAGGAATGCAGAAGACATCTTTGCAGAATTTTTTGGCAATAGTCCTTTCGAATTTGGGGCAGCAGGAGCTGGGAGGTCCATGAGGTTCCAGTCTGATGGAGGAGGCATGTTTGGAGGTTTCGGGTCAAATGAACATGTTTTTCGAACTTATAGTGAGGGGACCGCGCTAAGGAAACCTCCACCAGTGGAAAGTAAACTACCCTGCAATCTTGCAGAGCTATACTCTGGATCAACAAGGAAAATGAAGATCTCCAGAACAGTAGTTGATGGCAAAGGGTATGTTTATGAAGCTCAGTGATTGTTCTTCTTCTGTTCTTCCCCTCCTCAGCCCAGTTTCTTCTCCTATCTTCATCTATTGTTTGAATTAGCCTTGAAGTTTCATATAATAACTTCTTCTGTGCAAAGATTTTTACTCCCAGTTAGATGCAATATTGGAAAGTTTCCCAAACCCTTTAGTAACGGAATTGTCCATTCAATGTCTGGTTGTACATCACTTCCATGGGATTTTTTATTTTATTTATTTGTGAAAAGAAGAAAAAGATCTCACTGATTATCTATAAATTCATAATTTTGCAGACGTCAAACACAAGAATCTGAGATATTAACCATTGATGTGAAGCCTGGATGGAAGAAGGGAACAAAAATTACTTTTCCAGATAAAGGAAATGAGCAGCCAGGTCAGCTCCCAGCAGACCTCGTGTTTGTGATAGACGAGAAGCCCCACGATTTGTACAAGAGAGACAGCAATGACCTCATAGTGAACCAAAAGGTGACACTAGCTGAAGCACTTGGGGGGACTTCAGTCAGTCTCATCACACTTGATGGTCGTAATCTCTCAATTGCTGTAACTGATATAATAAGCCCTGGTTATGAGCTGATAGTCCCCAAGGAGGGAATGCCAATAGCAAAGGAGCGAGGTAATAGGGGTGATTTGAGAATCATATTTGAGGTGAAGTTCCCGACAAGATTGACACCGGAGCAACGAGCAGGACTGAAGCGTGCCTTGGGGGGTTGATAATTCAAGAGATTTTTCTCTATATATATATTAGCCATTAGCTTGAATCAAGCCACCCTCAAAACTAAAGATAAAAATTGCTCTTTTGACAGACTCTGGTGTATAACACACCGGGAGAAGCATTTGCATATTGAAAAACAATGTGCCTGAATCTCAGTCCGAGTTACATTTTACCATATTCTTATTTGTCTATATTGTTTAAATCTAGCAGTTCTCTCTGTAATTCTTGCAACTTTCTTGGTTGTTACTGGTTGTCCCATGTAATTGATTTTTTTCCTTTTTTTCCTCAGTGGGCTGATTGGGTTGAGAAGGTGGGGCTTGAGGAATATCTTGTATTTTCTTTTTCCTTCTTAATTTATCAATTTTTTGTATCTTCTTGGTCAATCTTTTGTTTTCTTCTGCTAGATCCAACCTGTGTACTGTGAATCATTCTCTATTAATAAACAGAATTTGTTCATAATTCATTATTAATTCCAGAGAATCATGTTACCTTTTCTCTCAGCTGTAACATATTGAAATCGTATATCGAGTCTTTTAACGTCGGAAACTAAGTTGGACTAACAGAAAAAGATAAGGCGTGGAATTGCCTTTGTCACCTTTACCACATCTGCTTTAGATTGAGTTCTTTATTGAATTAAAAACTTAAATTAAATGTAACATCGTATACATCAATAAACAAAATACACTGAACATGCTAAAGCCGACCCCAGAGAAAAGGTCAGGTTTTAAATTTAGGTTACTGTTTTGCTTTCTTGACTTGTTTTATGCTGCTCGTAGTCGTAGATGCTTTTACAAAACAGGCCACGTTTCACTGATCAAGAAACTAGTTTAAATTTAGCTATAAAACTAAAGAGACTACATTTCCACAACTAGCGGTTACAAAATTAAAATTTACACAAGAAATTATTCAAAAGCCCCTACTCTTGGGAGCATCTTGCCGCCAGGACAGCCCAGGCTGACCGGCTCCATATAATTGCACTCCACTAGGCTGGGCCGCTGGTGGCGGAACCGCAAATTGACCATGCGCCCATAAATGGGAAGCATTTTGTTGAGATTGCATTACATTCATTTGGGGCACATTTGGCTGACGGTATTGTTGGTGAGAATGCAATTGCGGTGATCCATAATGTAGTTGTTGATTATCCATGTTGGTTCGCTGATAGGCATGTACTGGGTGGTGAGTAGGCTGATTTTGTGGAGCCTGTGGCTGCCACTCTGGAATGTCATCATCGTCGTCATTATTCCATGCCTGAATTCCAACCCCAACACCTCTTCTGTCTACAGTGGGAGAACCTTGGGGTTGTCCATATTTTTGAATAAGTTCCCTCATTTGATCTACAGGACGTGATGGGGTCTGGGTATGTGGGTGAAAATGTGTCATTCCAACACCCCGAGAGGGTTTTGGGGCAGAACCACCAGAAAAATTAAACTCAGGAAGGTCATCATCGTCGCGGCCAGACGCAGGGCCAAAACCGGGAGGAACATCATCATCTTCATCATCATCATTGGAGGATTTAGCATAGACAGAGGGTGGTCTAGCCTGAGACATAGAAGAAGGTTTTGGACTTGGAGTGATATTCACATTCATATTTGTATTCTTATCTTGGTGTCTCCTAGAACTGAAGTGTTTCTTAGAGGGGTGCTTATGGTGTGAAGCAGAGTTGGGTGATATTGTTGAAGTTAATTGTGCTTTTCTCCATANTTGAGAAGGTGGGGCTTGAGGAATATCTTGTATTTTCTTTTTTCCTTCTTAATTTATCAATTTTTTGTATCTTCTTGGTCAATCTTTTGTTTTCTTCTGCTAGATCCAACCTGTGTACTGTGAATCATTCTCTATTAATAAACAGAATTTGTTCATAATTCATTATTAATTCCAGAGAATCATGTTACCTTTTCTCTCAGCTGTAACATATTGAAATCGTATATCGAGTCTTTTAACGTCGGAAACTAAGTTGGACTAACAGAAAAAGATAAGGCGTGGAATTGCCTTTGTCACCTTTACCACATCTGCTTTAGATTGAGTTCTTTATTGAATTAAAAACTTAAATTAAATGTAACATCGTATACATCAATAAGCAAAATACACTGAACATGCTAAAGCCGACCCCAGAGAAAAGGTCAGGTTTTAAATTTAGGTTACTGTTTTGCTTTCTTGACTTGTTTTATGCTGCTCGTAGTCGTAGATGCTTTTACAAAACAGGCCACGTTTCACTGATCAAGAAACTAGTTTAAATTTAGCTATAAAACTAAAGAGACTACATTTCCACAACTAGCGGTTACAAAATTAAAATTTACACAAGAAATTATTCAAAAGCCCCTACTCTTGGGAGCATCTTGCCGCCAGGACAGCCCAGGCTGGCCGGCTCCATATAATTGCACTCCACTAGGCTGGGCCGCTGGTGGCGGAACCGCAAATTGACCATGCGCCCATAAATGGGAAGCATTTTGTTGAGATTGCATTACATTCATTTGGGGCACATTTGGCTGACGGTATTGTTGGTGAGAATGCAATTGCGGTGATCCATAATGTAGTTGTTGATTATCCATGTTGGTTCGCTGATAGGCATGTACTGGGTGGTGAGTAGGCTGGTTTTGTGGAGCCTGTGGCTGCCACTCTGGAATGTCATCATCGTCGTCATTATTCCATGCCTGAATTCCAACCCCAACACCTCTTCTGTCTACAGTGGGAGAACCTTGGGGTTGTCCATATTTTTGAATAAGTTCCCTCATTTGATCTACAGGACGTGATGGGGTCTGGGTATGTGGGTGAAAATGTGTCATTCCAACACACCGAGAGGGTTTTGGGGCAGAACCACCAGAAAAATTAAACTCAGGAAGGTCATCATCGTCACGGCCAGACGGAGGGCCAAAACCAGGAGGAACATCATCATCATCGTCATCATCATCATTGGAGGATTTAGCATAGACAGAGGGTGGTCTAGCCTGAGACATAGAAGAAGGTTTTGGACTTGGAGTGATATTCACATTCATATTTGTATTCTTATCTTGGTGTCTCCTAGAACTGAAGTGTTTCTTAGAGGGGTGCTTATGGTGTGAAGCAGAGTTGGGTGATATTGTTGAAGTTAATTGTGCTTTTCTCCATACAACAACACCAATTAGACCATTATCAATAGCATTAATTGCCTCAAGTTGGTCGTTAGGGAGGATTTTGCTGACCATTTCACGTGTTTTAATGTGGGGTGGACAAAAATAAAGTTCAATTCCAGGGGCAGGCTCAGCAAAACCCACTCTCCCATCTAAAACATACGAATCAGCCACCTGAGAAGAACATCACCAGTTACAATTACGCAACAAAACATAATGACAACAAACGGAGAAAAGTAGAGCTCTTTATTTACCTCAGAGAGACTTGCATGTTCGCCTTTCCGGGAAGCTTCCTTCTCAACTAAGTGAAGGATCTGCAAACAATAAATATGTATCAATAATCCAGAAAAAAAAAAGTAAATAACAAACTATATTTTTCACGTCAAGTACAGGATTCCTCTATAAAAGTATTTCCTTGGGTCTTTTAAAGACGTTTGCTTGTCTGCTGATGTGCCTCCCTTGGGCACAATTAACATATCCGTTTAAAAAATCCAAATGTTCCTTTTAACTTATCACGATTGTCCAGTTATGTTTAATAAAACATTTCTTAAATTTTTTTTGATCAAATATCTTTTATTACTGGAAAAAAAGAGAAGTGTACATCTGCCTACGTAATTTAGAACTTTGGAAAAGAAAAACAAGAGCGAGCAGGATTGAATGTGGGCAACTTGTATCCATTTCCAGCAATTTATAATTTATTAAAATTTAAAACTGTGGAAATTGTTGCCAACAGCTGCTGCTCATCCAACACAAATGCGTTATACAAGCAACCCCATGCTGTTAAAATTCCAGCCGGGTACTATTTCCCACTACACTCTAGAGAGGTTTGATCACCTACAAAAAAAATTGCTGTCATCTTTGATTTTATATTTAGTTTTTTCCCCACAAAATTTAATGCAAGTTCCCATTAACCCAATAAGCATGTCAGTTACCAATTTAGAGAAGACCCTACGTGCCACAACAGCAAAAAGAATAAGATGACAGATTAAAAACTGGGATAGAATGTTTTCGCTTTTGTTAACCACTTTTTTGGTTGGTTTGTAAAACAGTAGAATCAAACAGGTCACATATTTAATACAGGGCAAGCAAACTTGAGATACCATTACTGCCCGACTCCGTGACATTGGAAGCTCTTGGAGGAATTTCTCAAATGCTTCAAGTCTAACTCTCCCCTTGATCTCAAGGAAGTTAGCCCACCCCTTGCCAGAAGTTTTTTCACCACTGAAACAATATGAACAGATCAGAGACAATTGCACGGCAACATATAATAAGTCATTATTATTAACATAAAACTTCAAATTTGAAATTTCAAGTGAAAGCTTCCCATTTAGATACTAATCATCAAAAGTTATTATCAACAGAGGAGACTTCACTCTTAAGTTATATATCATATCACATCAACCCACTTGGGCAAATAGAAGTCTCTAGAGTAACATTGCCCCCAGTATCAAATACCGTCATCTCCCCATCTCCATTGACCTGGAGCATGCCAATTAGTCAACCATTTTTCACCCCATTCTGCACAAATTACACTTTCATTCATTTCCAAGTGGAATTTTAATACCTACACAATCTCAATCCACCTATTACAAGCCAAAGCAAGGGCAAAAGGCATGAGAAAATTTAACTTTCGAAAAACCATTCTGTCTTGGACTAATTAGTTAAAAGTACAACTTAAAGTTCAAACCATGCCCAAAGATATGATAAACAAACTCTTTATGCACTCAATAACATTATTTGAATTTCAAGCACAAGAACGTAACAGAACAAACAAAGGCTATCAATCACAAACAGCTGAAACCACCAAAACACAAACAAATCTTAACACACAGAAATGAATGAGTAAAAGCAAATAATTGCCATATCTGAAATGAAACGACACTTCGCACTTGGAGAATAACATGGCAACCCAATATCATCATATTATGTCCTACATTTGATTTCTAACCTCTTTGATAGAAATTTGATTCCTATCCTCACTGTACATTTATTGCTAGTGTAAAAGTTTATGATGTGATACCTTTGTAGACAGACACATTACACAATTCAGAACAGAAAAAATAAACATTAGTCAATATATTTAACAAAAAATTGAAAACAACAAAAGCTCAAGTGCACAAACCTTTTATAGATGCCTATGACTGAGGCCATGGCTGATATATTCAGCTGAAGTAAGCCATCCCACACAAGCTCACCCTTGGGTACAAAAGTAGAAGGTGCAGTTTCTGATTTTACAGGGCTGTCACTAGGCTTTGCATCAGCCTCTGATTCTCTGCTTTTTAAATCAACATTGTCAGGTTTAGCTGGTCTAGTATCAACAGGATCTGCTGGAGTTTGAACAGGAGACTTTGATTCAGAACCAACTTCTGAGTCATCCTTGTCCGATGTGCCTGCAGGTTTCTCAGCATCCACTGGTAAATTTTCAAATGGTGGTTCCGTGTTCAGTGATTCCATAAATTCATCAAGAGAGACGATTGGAGGAAGAAATTCAGCATCCTTCAATTCATTATCCACCATAAGCCCTTCCATCAAATCAGTCCCCTCATTTGATGGACTAGCAACAGAGCATGGACGTTCCTGGTCTTCAAGATTACTCTTTTTGTCAGCTGCTGCTGTATTTGATCCATCCTTCATTCCAACAGCTTTAGAAGGAGAAGAGACTTCTTTCTTTTTGGCTTTTGACAAAACTTGAGCAAGTGAGCTCGCCCCAACAGATACATCTGCAGAAGCAGCATCAACTTGTTCAACTTCGACTTGGACCTCACCCTTATGTGTTTTCTTCACCAACCGCCTAGTATCATCTTCATCAGGCAAAAAAACCATTTGGGCAAACTCTTCTGCTTTTGCCATCCGCCATTCTGAAAGCTCCTTTGAGGCAAGTTCCTCCGCTGACATAGCACATAAGCGTTCCGGGGGAATCTCTCCAGACATAACTTTTTCCCTCAGGTCAGGATTATTAGGATCCTTTAAATTGAATAAAAGAGATCTGCCCTTCTCTTTATACTTCTTATTCACACCTCCAAATAGTTTAAAAAGTTCAGCTTCAATTTTAGAAGCCAAAATTTGGGGAGATTGATCTGACTGTCGTTGTCCCCCATATCTATCTCCACCTACTTGCTCATTTCCTGATTCTTGCTTTACTGCAGCTGGAACCTCCTTCTTTACTGAAACCTCTATTGGTTCCAAAACCCAAGAGAGCCCATTTCCCTGCAAAAGTTCATCTCTGGCAAAAAAGTTGTCACTAAATGGAACATCCTCATCAGGCAAAAAATTACCATATTGAAATTCTTGCCCGTTGGATTTTGACATCTGTGAACTATTAGTGATGTTTTCATTAGCAAAGTACCCCTGAGATGCATTTTGGTTATCAAAGCACAGAGGAGCAGAGGAACCTTCTTGAGAAGGTAATGTTTCCTTGCGCTCTTCAGATACAGGCTCAACAGCACATGAAGCGGTAGGTGAAGATCCAGCAGTTTGAGAATTCTCTTCCGTCTTTCTCAGGATATTTTCAGCTTCATTCTGACCATTCTTTTCTTCCTTCAGTGATTTATCTTGCAGCTGAGAAACCAAGGCCAGTGCAGATGCTAATGATTCCCTCATCTTCGACCTCACAGATTCAAATGACTCAGTTCTCAACTTTGACGATGGTTGTAAAGGTGTATTCTGACTTTTTGGGATGGATTGCTTTCGTGGCCCAGGTTTACTAGTAGCAGACTCCTTCGGTACTACTTTCTTGTTTAGAGTTGGTGAATTCTGTGATCCTGGAGAGTTAGGCATGAATTGCATCTGCTGTACAACTCTTCTATCAGGTCCAGATGTTTGCTGCAACCATGGCCTATGCTCCGGTTGTGCCACCCGCTTATTAGACATTAATGGCTTCGGTGACAGAGAATTGTTGGACACCGGCTCCATTGGCGCTTTTCTCTTGTTCAATGATGAAAACTGCTGTGAAGCCAAACTATTTGACATTGTTCCAAGCCCGCCCATTTGCTTGTCTGGTAGAAAAAACTGCTGTTGCACCAGATTATATGCTTGGGGTTCCATTTGAAAAGTCTGTTGGTTTGACACTGGCAATATCTCAGACCCAGGATTGTTCGACATAGGCAGCAACATCCCCATTTGCATATTTGAAACAGGCTTTTGTTGTGATGCAGAAACACTGTAACCAGGTGCCACTGGTCCGAATTGCATGTTTGTCACTGACACCTGCTGTAGTGAACCACCGGTACCTGATCCCATTAATCCCATTTGAATGGATGACTCCAATTTGTTTGAAATGGGTTCCAGCTGACCCATTTGGTTGCTTGGCATAGACAGCGATTCTGATGCTAGATCGTTAGACATGCTAGACCATCAACACAAAAAACATGCCAAAGAAACTGCAATGCAAACATAGAAGAAAACAAATCCAGAACTTAGAACATCTCATATAATATTCACAGACAGTACAACCCCAGCAGCATGAAAACGTAAACACATAAACCTGAGTTCCAAATCAAGATTCTTTAGTAATAATAACCATGCAAAAGACAGCTCCAAAACTTGGAATCCTTTGAATCTCTTACAATTTCAAATGAGGTATCTTTGTGTTTAAACAGGAAAATATGTTCCATGGACATTTCACCGGAATAGTAACATAAAAACTCATACGGTAAAACTGATAAAGGTCAAACATACCAGTTAAATCACATAAAACAATAATTGTTTATTAATTTTTTTTCTCCTCCATTTATAAAACTGATAAAGCTTAGGCAGATCACGTGTAATTACAAATATAATCACAAAATAAGCGAAAATAAATTCATTTAATTGATACAACATTCGTGAAAGAAAAAACCCAAGCAGAAATAATTACAGGAAACAGAATAATCATCAAAGGTATAAAGCGAAATCAAATAACAACGATTTGCATGTGAAAATTATATTCGACAAAGATTAATAAAACAAACCAGTAAATACTCGATTCGAGACACACCGTTTCAAAGTGAAAGCGTCAACCTGATTCGATATTCGCCGAAGGGGTATCCGGAAATTGAGCCAAAGAACTAAGGCGAACACAGAGAGAGAGTCGGCTAAAGAAATTAGGCTGCACTCTTTTGTTTGAGCTTTATTTGGCTGTCGTTCTAAACCCTAAAATTTTTTGACCTGATCTAAGTGATAATCTGATCATATGACTTATCTGTCCGTGTGAAGCTAGAAGAGGTTTTTCTAGATACAAGTTCAGTTAACACGTGGATACCTCTCACGTGCGTTATGGGCCCAACGCAAAACGGTGTCGTTTAATCTCATGGTTATGGAGAGTTGATCTTAAACCGTTGGATTTATGTCTTTCTTTTATGTTATTTGAATTTAAAGGTGGAAAAATAACCCGTCCGGCCTAGCCTGTGATAGGTTAAGCAAAATTGCAGGCGGGGCCTAACCTGGCTCACCTCTTTGGCTAAAGAGGTTGGCCTAGCCTGACCTGCCAACCTTAACCCGACGGGTTTTTGTGTGAGTCGGCCCAGAATTTTTTTCTTTTGTGTAATTTTTTTAGCTAACTTTTCAAATATCAATAATTTAATTAAATTAATTTTTTTGTTAACATTTCAAATATTAATTCAATTTTAATACAATTAAATTGTAATATAAGAAAAATTAGATTTGTTCATTTATCAAAAAATAAAATAAGAAATAAGAAATTACAACAATTATTGCCTTGTTAAAAACTTTACCAAGAAAAACTTGATAAGGAAAAAAAAGTGTAATAATTGACAGTTAATTTACAAATTTTAAAGTTACAATTTATAAAACAACTAATTTAAGGGTTTACTAAGATCTCCCTCATCTAAATTACAAAATTGAAATGATTCTATTAAAGTATCATCAACAACCTTGCAGTGATCCTGATGGCACGATCGTTCCTAATCTCAAAGATATGTGAGGACTTCAATCAATTTTGGTGAAGTTCTGCTGTCATTTAAAATTCTTTCACTTGCACTAAATGTTTGTTCGAATGAGACGATTAAGACAGAAACAAAGAAAACATCCAGGGCAAGTCTTCGTAATACCGGAAAAATACATTTTCTGGTTTTCCAATATTCTAAGACATCAAAGTTAGCTCTCTGTTATAAATCTGCTGGTAGCACGTCGGGGGTTCCCAAATATTGGTGAAGCTCATTACTCTGTAACTGCATAAAGGACAATGTATTTGTTGTTGATGCTTTTGAAGAGGAGGTTATGCTTCGGGTTCGGGTCCTTTTCGGCCTATTTAGTGCATTCTAGGAGTCGAAGTCTTCATTTGTGTTTTCTGATGCTACTTTCTCGGGTATATCGCCTCTTCACTGGTTCTTATACCTGTTTTCATAGTACAAATATCCCTCTGCAAGATACTGTCTTATCTCTCCTAGTTGATTGGCATATGTTTCATCTCGTAAATTTTCACTTAATGTGTCTAAACCATTTTCTAAACCTACTAATTTAATTATAAGATCGAATATAGCAGCTAAACAAAAAAGAAAAGGAAAAAGTTTCCAATATTTTTTAAATTTTAAGTCTATTGTCTCTATTGATCCTGCTAAAATTTCATTGTTTTTGTTTTTTTAAATAAATCTTAAATTTTTATAATTGTATGTATTACTAATGAACTAGTAGGATAATACACACCATAAAGTTTTAAAGTGGATTGATAAAAAATTTTAAGAAAATGATGAAATTTTTGAGTTAAATGTCAATCACTGTCTATCAAATGAGAACCCCTATTATTTGTTATAAAATAACTAATTAAATTTGCATAAGGTAAATATGAATCAAACATTAAATAAAGAATAATACTACACATACATCATTCGCATACAACATTTCTCATACAACATTATGTGGCAATATATGATTGGATGAAAGTTTAATTTTAACTTTAAATTAGCCAATCATATCTTGCCACATAATGTTGTATGAAAATGATGTATGTGTAGTATTACTCTTAAATAAATACTATTTCATCTAACAGTCATGTCTAATGCAAAAGTTATAGGAGACATTTGATTTTATACAAGTATCTTGAAATTCAGCGTTTCTTTTATTACTACTAGTAGTCCAAGCTAAAGAATCCTTAATTCTATCAATATTATTTCTAATTTTTTTCATACCACTTTTCACAATTAAATTAATAATGTGACATGTACAACGTTGGTGAAAAAACTTCAAATTGTCATTAAAAAAAAAAAAAAAAATTATTTTATAAAAACTATAGCTCTACTATTAGTACTTGCATTATTTAAAGTTAAACTTATCACTTTGTGAATAATATCATAATCTTTCTAAAACTTCAACAATTTTATTATAAATTTACTGACCACTGTGATCCACATCCATTAATCTAAATCCCAATAAAGATTTATTTAATTTACATTCGTTATCAAAATGATGACTTATCACATAAATATAATCTTGTTTAGCTCAACCATTTCAAATATCGGTGATTAAAGCCATACTAACATGACAACTATTTATTTTATTTCTTAATTCTAATTTCATTTTCCCAAACAAATTTATTAAATCATTTCTAATTGCAGTTTTTGAATAACTTTTAAATCCTGGAAAAAATGAATTTTTAATAAATCTTTCAAAATACTTATCTTCAGCCACATTAATATGTTGATCAGTTGCAGCAATACATAAAGTTAATTGTTCTCTGTATACATCAGAATTATAACGTCAAGCAGTACTCATATTAGTTATTTGAGTTTGATTGGTTTCTCTATTTCCATGTTGATTCATATGTTTATTAGCATACCTTTTTAAAGTACTAGTACCATTAACTGCATCAGTTGTCTAAATATTTCCACAATACTTGCATCTTGCTTTCTTTACTTGAACTCCATTTTCTGTCTCGTAAAGCTTTTCGAAATGCACCCAAACATCTAATGTATGCATGTCATTAGTTCCGACTATAGTTGATGAACCCACTTTTGCTTGAGATGGAGTTGGACAAGGGTGACAATTACGAGGATGACTTTTAGAACTACCGGGAGCTGTAGCAGCATGGGAAGGAAATGGGGAATATTATGATGTGTATCGGATTATGAGAATTGGAAAATGAGACTATTTGAATCTACGACATTTACGTTAGTAAATTCAAGGGGACTAGGATACTTTCTTCATCATTGAAATTGATGGGATGGAAATATATATCCATTCTAGTTAAAAAAAAAAAAAAAATGGATATAGAAGAAATAAAGAAGGAGAATTGGAATTTGGAAATATGAATTGAAAATTGTAAAAACTAATAAAAATTAAAATGAGAGCAAATTGACAACAAAGAGATTGAGAGATTTTAATAGAGAAAATGAGAGAATAAGAGAATTTGGGATGTAGAGAAATATGAGAGTTTAGGCCGTATTTGTTGAAAAAAAAAAAAAAAAAAGGGAGAAGAAAATGACTATAAAGACTCCTCAAACTATTATAAAATGGCTATATTTCATGGGTAAAATTGGTTTTTGTAAAAAAAATATTTAATTTAATTTTTTTTGTCCAACCTGTCGAGTTGACCCGCGGGTTGAAAACCCCCAACCTGGAAGGTTTGACGGTTTTTTTTTTTCCTTTAAAAAAATATAACTTGTTGGGTCAGTGGGTTGACCTATGAAGGCCCAGCCCGCCCGATGGGGTATACTCAGGCCAGGTTGAACCCAACATGCCCTTTAGACAGACCAAGTTAGGGTTGACTCGCTTACCCGGCTCATTTGTTCCACCTCCAAATAGTGATCAACTTGCAAAAAGGAATTTATTTCTAATAATAATTTTTAATAGTTAATATTTCTAATCCCCCTTGAGGTATGACATTATATCAAAAATCCCTCAAAGTTTTCTGAAATAACATAAATCCCCTAAGATATAATGTAATAACAAAAATCCCACAAAAGTTTTTGAAATAACAAAAATTTCCCTAATATTTAATTTTAAATGTTAAAATAAAAGATAGAAGACAATTTAGTAATATTTATTAATTTATAACGGTGTACATTTTTAACAGCTTACTGACAGTTCATTAGCAACCAAAAAAATTTCTGTTATTTTGAAAACCGAAGGGAAATTAAAGTTATCATATCATACTTAGAGGGATTTATGTCATTAGCTTTTTTTAATACCTGAGTGATAAACATTAGAAAATTAAATTTGTGAAAGCATACAGAATTTACAATTGAATCTAAATATCAGTGCTTTAATAGGAAATACCAATTTATTATTTAATAAAACTTAAAAAAAAAAAAAAAAAAAAACTTGTGCTTCATTAGAGTTTATGTAAATATGTAATCTGATTAATCCATTAAATTAAGATATATGGGGAATCACTGAACTCCAATATCCAGGCTTGTACTGTTAAGTGTTAACTCTGAACAACCATGGAGCTTCCTACAGGCTAAGACTAACAAGAATTGTCCATTTAATTATGAATTATTTATTTTTGTTGACATTAAACCCACACAGAGAAAGACATCTAATATAAAACTTGAATGAAAAATACAAAGTAATAAGAAAGAAAAGATTCAACTCTATGAAGTTGGAATTCTACTACATCTTAATTCTTTCTATTTCTTTATGTAAGCAGATACACAAATATTTTTCATTCAAAATGCAGCAAACTAGATCTCCATACGGCCAAATTATGCCGCTAGTGCAGTGTACAATCTGTATATAAAACTGCTTAATCCAAGGCAATTTCTTCGCATCTCCCAAGCTAAATCTCAATTCAAGAAAAATGAAATGAATGAGCTTGGACAATCATCCAACCATACGAGAAGAGATCTTCGGGCTTTTAAGTAGGCATGTCATACATATACACAAAGGATGGCAATATATATTACTACGTTAAAACACGGTGGCTATCGAGCCATTGCCCGCTCTCCTATCACTCCTTCGCTGGCTGTCATTTGTCCCAGAAAGTGTACCCAAGATACTAGCACTTGTGCCTGCGATTGAACCCAGAACTGTTTCACCAACTTCACTCTTGCAAAGTGGACATGAGGCATTAATCTTTAGCCACTTATCCACACAATCCTTGTGGAAAAAATGAGTACATGGCAACTCTCTCAACTCATCATTATTTGCATATTTTGCCAAACAAATGCAACAAACCTGTACACAGTTACAAAATTAGCATCATGTTAATATCAATAAGGACAAAGCGGATACTTGACAACATAAACAACAAAAAGTTCAGCAAATTTAACAAGTTGTTATTTGAAAGGGAACTAACTACAAAGGCTTTTATTGACAAGACTTGCAGATAAAACTGACACGATAGTCCTCTCAATCTTTTTATAGCAAGAATAATACTACATTTAAAACTCTTTGAACAAATTAACTAATACAAACTGATGTATCATAATATGATTGGATGACTTAAAATTAAAGATGAATGGAACAACTTTAAGTTACATGATGTGACAAGCATGCAAGGTTACACATCACTTTTTCTGATGAGATTGTATATATATAATATTACTCTTTTAGCCATCATGAATAATTTGGAAGCATCTGATCGCTATAACTATTTTTTTTTTTTTTTAAATAAAATAAAATAAAGGCAGGCAAAAATTTGAAACAATGAATTAAATCAGGAAATAATTACTGCATCTTCTCCGGAAATCACACGCTCCTTTTCTGTTCCTGCAGCCACAACCCCACCCTCAGCAGAACCTGAGCTGTTATCTCTATCATTTCCACTTCTAGTTTTCTTCAACTTAAACTTGTATGTAGGTAAAGCATCTATTGATTCTGCCGTGGCCCCTCTGGTCTGTGCCAGATCCTCTCTTAACCCAAGGACAGAAATTATACAAGGCAAGCAGCAGCAAATTGTGGCACACAGAATGAAGGGCATGGCGTAACCAATACAGCTAAAAATAAGGAACACTATACATAACCTACAAAGCAAATGAAAAAAAAAAAAAAAAAAAACAAAAAAAGGCAATTCAGCTTGTGCTTTAATGAAAGAAAGAAATGAGGAGTAGACTTGTAACTGCTGTGAAACTACCTGTACAAGTTTGGAGCATCTGCGGCGGATGAATGCCCCCCAAATATCCACACATTGCCGACCACAAACCAAACAGCAAAAAAGCAATCCAAAGCCATTTTGAAGTATTCCACTAGCACCTTGAATCTGTGGGCAGAAATTAACAAATTTATAAAAATAAAATGTCCAACTCTTCACAGGAACAAATATTGGTAGTCAAGCAGAGCATAAGAAGCAGAGTTTAAAATATACCATTAAATCATTGACAGTAGAACTCATGGAAAAATAAATAAATACACTTTCAGTTAGTTGACTCTTAACAAAGGCTAATTACTGATTAGACTATGAAAAATTCTACTAGTAATAGGAGCCAACAACTTGATCTTACGTGAATCTATTAAACATGTTAATAGAGGATCTCTATCCAATTATATCCCAGGATAGACCAGCTGCAAACAGTGGACCAACTTAATTTGATCAAGCCAATCATAAGGGAAGGGAATTAGAGTAACAGAAATATGCTTATTATAGTGTTAGAAGCAAGATACTACACTATAATTCATATCTGTACAAAAATTAAGACCCAGACACAGAACAATACCACAAAGAAATTAACATCTCTACTTTAAACCACGAGGAGCTTCATCTTTAAGTAGGAGATCAACTTTATTAAATAAAACAAGTTGTTCAAAACAGAATTAGTCATCCACACAAATGGACAAAGCACAAAGCAGATAAAGTTCTCTCATCAAGGAAAAGTACTCAGTACCTTGCACTAAGTACTGTATTTTGTCCACCTCTATGGGATGTAACAGCAGCCCGTTGATCATCCCCTTCTGAATTTCTAGGAACATTAACACGAGCTGAACCATTACGAGATTGCACCGAGTCTGGCTCCGAAACAAGATTGCTTTGACGATAACGCCAATATAGAAGCGGGACAGTGGCAACACATCCAGATGCATAACCCACAATCCATTCAAGCAAAGGCGCGTGTGCATGCTCATCTCTCGACACTGACAAGACAACAACAGACGCAACAATTTGGCTCACTGTGAGAACTAGTTCAATAGAAATCCATAAACCAGAATTTAGTGGACTCCTGCGACGACGGCCTTCCCCTCTCCTCACAAATGAGAAGTTTCGGTTGTTTGATCCATTGGAAGAAGTTGCTGGTTGAGGAATAGGTGTTCTAGCACTAGCAGAAGATCTGTCTTCTCGCTGCAAAGCATCCAAGCCATTAGAAGTTCTATCGTGGGATGAATTAGATGAGGATGCATCAGCAATCGGTATATCAATAACATGATCGCTACTGCTAACGGTATCTGGCCGCTCCATTAATAATGGGCAAGTATCTGTTTGACTTTCAGTATGTAGTTCCACTAAGGGAACATCCATCTAAGTTCACCAACGCAGTTGGAAATACTGAAAGCATAGAATCACAAAACAAGGGTTACCAACGATTCCCCAACTTCTCAATTTTTCAGAAACAAGTGTCACTTCTACTGATTCTTCAAGCTGCAGCAGCAAATGTTACTGGTGCAAGTCGTGGATGATTTAACAATCTACACACTGTTGAACAATAAAACACATCAACATCAGAATAAAATTCTTTACCCATTTCTAAACATGGACACAAGTTAACCGCTGAGGACAGAAATTAAAACAAACCAAAATTTTAAGCCTATGTGGTCAACAATCTAGATTACTAAAATAAATGAATTCACAACTTTTTAAAACAAAAACAACCTCAACAATAAAATTCAAATGGTACATTCATTATTTTCCTTGGTTTTTTCAGAAACAACAGACTACACTCCTCCCATTATCATCAAGTCAAAATAAAGCCATTAAGTAAAAAAACGAAAAGTATCACACCTGAATATAATAAAATTACTCAACCGACTGTCGGTTCAATTTTAAGAAAAATTAATATAAATTGAATCTCCGTACTTCTTAAGAAAAATCCCATGCATTAAATACCAGAATTCATATGCTCAGAAAGAAACTTCAACAACACAGAGTTCAACTTAAAACTGCACTGTTCACACCTTCTTACGAATTACTGGATAATTGAAGGCTTTTAGAAAATGAAAGACAAAATAAAAAATAAAGGACAGTTACATACTACTTTCTTTTCCTACCTGATTAGTTATCAGAACCAAAACGACAATAAAAACTTATAAACTAATTCTCAAATCCCGATGACTCAGAAGACTAGAAGTAAGCAATATCATAAAATTCAGTCTAGTATTAATATATTCTTTCAATTCGTTAAAACAAAACTACAAAGGAACTGAAACTGAGACCTTAGAGGAGCTAGATTTTCCATCATATGGCCTCAGCAACCGAAGCGATGGGAATAAATTAAACCATTAATTCATCAAAAAGAAATGATGAAAGATTGATCCAAATCTCAAACAATAACACAACTAAGTCGGAATTAGCAACATAACAACAATCAATTAATAAACTGATTATAAATTAAGCTCTTATATCATTCAAGACTAAAAGAAACCCTAACGTTGACTAGTCTCTAAAGAAGAATGAATCGACAAATAAAAGAACAGAGCACAGATCATATTCACAGTTAAAGAAAAGCAAATTCATATACAAAGAGAGAGAGAGAACGATGCTTACAATATTGGACAGAGGGCAGTGAAGATAGAAAGGTAAATGGAGTGAGTTGTTGAAAGAAGAATCGGAGAAGGTTTCAAAATACAGAACGGTGCCGTATTGATATTTTGATTATTATTTATTGTAATATAAATTTTTGTAATCTCGCTTTCTTTAAAGGGGCAGGGAGGGAGGGAGGGAGATAAAGAGTCACCTTTCGACCTCCGTTTCCTTCGCCGCGTGGTCTGAGAATATATTTTGTATTTATACATATTCAGCTACTGCTACAGCAGAATAACAGTTTTTTTTTTTTTTTTTTTTTTTTTTTTTTAAATTTCATTTTCATTTTCGCCGCGATCTCTGATTTTTAGATTGCCTTATCGTCTCAAACACAAACACCTTTTGTATAATTAAAACCACCTCTGGGTTCTCAAAAATTACACTCAGATGCTGATTTTAGGGGATTATTCATAATACCCCTCATATTGCATAAATTTGACAGAATCCACGAGTTTGCTGTTAATAAAGTGTGAAATTTCTATTTTACCCCTTATTTTACATATTAGTTAAATTAATCAAATAAAATCATAAATAAATTGAAAATTGACAAAAATACCCGATTACCTATTACCCATACAACATTACACATGGCGGTGCAGTGGTGGTTGATGGAAGGAATGTGGTGGAGAGAAATAAAAAAGGTTTAATACTTAATGAGGTGAAGTTCCAATTTTACCCTCAACAACCACAGAAATTTGTTTTATACTTTGTGCTGCCAATTGGATTTGAACAGAGTTAAACGTCTATTCACCACATGGTAATCTAACACCTCTAATGTTAGCATTGGATTGATAATTCTGGAAAACATGTGGATGGTTATGAGATTAACCCATTAAAAGACATCCCAAATAAATGCTACTTGGGGTTAGTTAGTAGTTCCCTAAATGTAAACATTATTTTTGGCAAATTTAATTTATATCTATGTGTAGATTCTAAACTTGAATATTATGCATTCTATTTTAATGCCAATGCACAATACCCTCAACTCCGAGCAACAAGACAAACCTTATCTTATTTTTCTCAATCTCGCTCTCGCTCTCTCTCTCTTCTATATCTTTCGATGATTTTTTTTTTTTTTTTTTTTTATAGTTCTTTATTTGTTTCTATCTCTCCTTTTAGTCTCTAAATTGAAACTTATTTTAAAATTTGCTTCGAAGCTTAAGTGTAAAATACTCGTCATTTTTAGAGATCTAAAATCATGTATGTACCCTTGACCCCTCAACAATTTTCATTCGTTATATAGTTTTAGAGGAGATGAGTTTATATATATATATATATATTTGCTGACCCTTGGAAAGGTTAGACTAACGCCATAATTATAGGGTCTTGATAGTGTTGATATGAACCTTAGGGGGTTATATATTATAATTATATTTGTTTTATGTTTGCCTCAGTGGACGCCAAGTATAAATCTGCCTAGTTGTTTGCCAGCGTCAGCCTTAGCACTACATGACATTTCAACATTTGTCCATCTTGAAAATTACAATTCTACCGCCGGTAAGAATAAGAATAATGCTTCGCATATTCAGTGTAATTGGCTTGAACTTGAACAGAATCCCAAAGCCATAAAATAAGGAAATAAAAATGCAATTTCATTCACCATTTTTACTAAAATATGGTCATCTAGGGCAGCAAGAAATAAGCTCAAATCCTTAATATCAGTCGGGGTAGAGACAGAGAGAGATATTAATGATTTGAGTTTATGTCTTGCACTAGCTGCTATTGCAACTTTTAGCATAAAAATTGTATAATCCACTGCATGGCCCTTCCCATAAAAATTTCTGAGGAAGATAATAAACATCCCACACAGTAGCATCAAAGGCAAATACAGGATTAATAAACAAGTTACAACACTGGCTGTCAAAGGATCAACCAAAAAACAAAAATCCAACAACCCAAACAACAGCCATTTCCATACATTTCTTTTCCGTTGGTTTCCAAACCCACCATCATATCGACCAGGAAGAGAATACAAGTTCTAAAATGGAGGTTAACAGACAATCGAGGTTGTTAAAGGTGTAACAGAACAGCTGTATTTCCGGCTATAGGCTGGTGACTGGCTGCATTTTCTAGTCGCTCCCATGCTTCTTTCCGCTTCTCAGCTACCAAGCTTAGCCTTGCTTCTTCTTCCCTAAACTGAGAGTGGCAAGACATGAACAGTACGTCATCCATCTCTGAGAACATCTTTCTGACATTCAGAGTGAGGTTCAGCACTGCTGGGTTCCAATGGTTTTGGGTGTTTTTCTCTAAAACTGGAAATATGACGGGCAGAACCACCTGCCGGTTATGTGCAATCAAGTTGACAATTTGATCGTTGTTCCACAAAAAAAGGGCCCTTTCAGCCACCTGAAGCAAATGAAGTTAGAGATAACAGATCTTGGAGCTTCTTTTTCAGGCAAAAAGCGACACTACTAGAAAAAGACTTCTAATATATACAATACTTTTAAGAAAAGAAAACCCAGTAGAGAAGAAAGCATTTTCCTAAAAAAAAATAAAAATAAATAAATAAATAGATGAAGTAAAACCAAAAGAAAAGAGAGAGAGGGAGAGAAGAAAAGTTTAAAAGACAAATAAAAGAGCAACAAATAAAGTCTGGCTCTGGCAGCAGCTAGTCCAATAAATATAAAGGAAGAGCAGTCATCTAAGCAAAAAATTCAATAAAAAGATCCATCCAAGACTTCGCAGAGATATACTGCCTCTATCAACTAATCATTCTTTCAGCCATCTTAAACCAAGATACAGGAAACAGCTTCGAATAATAGAGCGAGCCAACAGCAAAGGACCTAAAATAAGTAAAAGAGAAGGCAAGAATGATGATGAATCAAGATTCTCCAACATAGAGAGCAGCCATCAAAGTTGTGCCCCAATAAATAGGAACAGTGTATTGATAAACATGGAGCTTGTGACTGCCGGTGTAATTTGAGGACCCCTTACCCACTAGTAGAGGAATAGACAAACGTACTAAGTAAAAGAAAACTACACATTGATGTAGACCAGAAAGAAACAACTGCTACAAAATTATTCTCAACCCACACAAGTCAACCAAATGTCTCTAATACCTTATTAACAAATGAACCAAATCATTGCTAAAACCAAGTTCAAGAACACTGAAATGAAAAGCCTCATTAACTGGTAAGCTCTTTAAAAGATCATTCACCGACCAAGCTAAAGGCTCCTGGAATCCATTAAGATGTATAACATTCCTCAAAAACCAATCAATCCACTTTTAGCAGGAGGTGATTTATTTGGAAGCGATAAGCAGATTGATTGACTGCTCGAAAGAGCCAACTTATAAATGCAGAATAACATTCTTTCACAAATTAAGGCTAGCCCACAAGTTTCTCCACTTTCCCTCCTAAAGCACCATAACTTGAAGAAGTTGACTATACTCAAGTCATACACAGTATTCTTTTCGTTTTTACCTCTGTCCCAAGCAGTGTTCCTGAACTCCCGGAAATAACATCACAAAATTTCTAACAATGTCAAAAATGAAAACTGCATGTCCCTAGTGAGCCATAAAACATCCATGCATCACCCAACACTTATCCAAATTATAAGATCCATTTCCAACCCGATTATGTTGGCAATGATAGGGTGCTGCACCAGGTGAAGAAAGTAGCAAAAAACCAGCAGAAAACAAAAAGACATTAACCAGTAACTAAGAAATGTCTAAAACAAGAAATATTTGAAGCAAATCAAAACAGTCTATGCACTTTTCTGTTCTTATATAAGAAAATTTTCTTTTTAAACAAAATATGGCAGCAGTATTAAAATTTGAAAAGAGCAAATTAGGGTCTAGTAGGCAAGCTTAGAATGCCCAAAGCAAAGGAAATAATGATCTTAAGTATTTCTTCAAGGGGAAAGGGAAAAGAAATGCAAGGTGCCTAACTGGACAATAATATTAAGCATAGAGATCTAAGAAATCAGTTAAGACTCAGGACAAAATAATACCTGAAAGTGCAAACTGTTAATGCAGCACCCAATCCGCCAGAACAAGGGAACCATGACCTTTTGAAATTCCACCATGTTAATTGCTTCCAAGATCTCTTCTAACTCACCAAGGAACATCACCTCCTTCTGGCTATTAGTTATCGGCCAGTGTTTCAATAACCCATTTATCACAACACTTGACAACTTTGGCTCCTTCTCTATAAACTGCATGATACAGTAAGACAGCTGCTGGAAGTAAGACCCCAGAGACTTGGGCTTGTGCAGAGGAATCAAAACCCTCCTCAAGAATATCTTATGCTCCTCTTTCAAAGGCAACGCAAACCCAGTAATTACACTCCCAAAAATCTCCAGCAACTCCGCAATCCCATTATGCTTCTCGGTCTCAAAAACAAACCGATAAAAGATATTACTAATAGACTTTCGGATAAATGGTCTGTGAACCATAAACTTCCCATAAACCCTATGCAAAATGGTCTTTAAACACTCCCTTTCTCTCGGATCATCTGAATCAAATAAGTCAAGCAGTCTCAAAATGAAGGAATGGTCTACATATCTTTTCGCAATTTTAGTATCAAGACACGAAGATGTAATGAACTTAAGCAACAAATCATACACAATTTGCAAATGTGGCCACGCAGGATCAAACATGGGTTCATCATCATCATTTTCACCACCACCTTGATGAGAACTTGACCTATAGTTAGGTGGGAAAACCCTAAACAAATTAACAGCACACATTCTACACATTGCCAAGATTGCAGGCTCGCTAAATCTCATAGACCCAGAAGCTACAAAGTCTAAAAGCTCAATCAAAGTCTGCTTTTTAACATCTTTTTCAACACAATTCTTAGTTGGGTCAGTGAAATCAAACGTGACACAACAAAGGCTCACTTTACTCACAAACAAATTCATCTTCTCTGCATTGGGCACATCTTTAAATGGAATCAACGGCTCGATTCCAGCTACCACGCTGGCGGGAAACACTGCTGAGGACGTGCGCTTTGCAGCATTCGATCGCCCAGAAGAAGATTTATCTCCACCGTTAGATTTGTGTGTCCCAGAACCAGCGCTTGTTGCCGTTGTTGTTGTGTTACTGTTGATGGTAGAAAGAGGGCCCGAGTTTGAACGATTTAACTCAGACGAGTCCAATTTCAATGATTTTCTCGGAAGTTTACTGAAAAATTGCTTCAGCATTGTGAAAATATAATAAATAATATTATATAATACCAACCAACCTCAGTAGTAACAAAGCAACAAAGGCTTAATTTGAAGAAAGCATGGAGATTGATTAGTTAAAATGAAAAAGACTATACAAGGCTGAAATAGAAACCCTAAATTATAGCCATGGATCTGGGTGAAAAATAAGCGCAGATAAATATAATTACAGAGAAATGATAGCGAAAAAGATAAAGAATGGAGGTGAAATGATGAACATTGATGAAAAATCAGATCTCGACAATAATGTTGAGAAAAAGTTTCAATTTTTTTTTCCCAATTTGATTGTGAATGCATGCACAATCAAACATTCATCATTACAGAAATCTAAATCTTATGAAATGGAGAGAGAGAGAGAGAGAGTATTTGAGATGGTGATACCAAAGTAATAAGAGGAATCTCTACAGTGAAAGATCTACAACAAAGAGAGCTTTCAGAGAGAAAGGAGGTGAGAGTTCTTTCTTAAGACAGAGATCTAAGAAGGGGGGGAGTTTTTAAGGTTGTTGGTAAGATTTGATCTCCATCAAGACAAACAACACAACACAACCAAACCGAAAAAAAATTAAAAACTAAGAAGTGTTTTTATTTTGATTTTTTAGGGAAAAAAAAAAATTCTCGGTGGATGAGAAAATTATGGCATTTTCTCGGAAAATGCAGGCTTACTTTAATGAAACCAAACAAATGGATGTAATGGAAGTCTGCTTCTTGTTTTTGAAATAGTTGGTGGTTTTTTTTATTTTAATTTTGGCGGTGTACGATGGTAACATGGTGACACGTGTGTTGTGGACCGTTGGATTGATTGAATTATTATTATTATGGTTATTTGTTTGAGATGTTTTGGCCTAGAGTAGCAGCTAATGGTGGACATGTGATTTCACTATTATTCACCACTGTTAAATAATTAAATTAATTATTTTTAGTTTATATTACTCTAATTAATCACTTCACGTAAATTTAGTTTTGACAAGAACAGGAAGTTAGTTAAATTACCAGTGTCTATCGTGACAACCAAACACGACTGTCGTCGTTGAAAATTTGAAATGACATTTTTGCCCTCCTAGAGGACATATTAGATTAGTTTTCATTGGTTTAATTAGGGAGAACTACATTTTCACACCCAAGGTTTGACGAAATGACACTTTCCCACCCTTCAAGTTTTAAAATGACACTTTCCCAATCTTCGTCAGGTTCTGTTAGTGTCTGTTAATATTTGACTGAAAAGATGAAAATACCCTTAAATAATTATTTTTTAATTAGTTTATTGTAAATTAAAATTTAATTAAGTCAAAGTCTTTACTCGATTATTTCTTAGTTTAAGTGTAAAGATATTTTTTTTTTGTTTATTTAATTAATTAGGAATATTGATTTTTTTATATTAATTAGGAAAAATGAAAAATATTATATTATGAAAAACATTATAAATTTAATAGATTAATGAATAATACTGATGAGATAATGATGACATTATAAATAAATAAATATTAAGATCATTTAACTTTAATCAATTTTATAGCATTATTCCTAACTTTTTAGGTGGAACTGACTATTTTTTATTTTTTTTTACTTTTTAGCTAATTAAAAATTTATAAAGTTAAATGTTTAAGGGTACTTTCGTCTTTTTAATAAAATATTAACGGAAAATATAACATAACCTAACGAAGGGTGGGAAAGTGTCATTTTTAAACTTGAAGGGTGGGACATGTTAATTTTGTCAAACCTTGGGTGGGAATATGTTGTTCTCGCGTTTAATTATCTCAAGATTGAATCTAACAACAATTAAAAGTAATATTGAGATCCCTCGTAACAATAATTGTTATACTAATTCCACTTCTAGAAAATTTTAAAAATAATAATAAAAAAAAAAACTGGCAAGAAAACCCTAAAAGGTTGGCATGATGGTAAAGGAGTCAAGGAGGTGTGCTCCCTTCTTTGACTTCTTGGATTCAAACATTAGGACTACCTACCTCAATACATAATTGTGTCTTACCCAGTTCATTGGGTTTATAGGGTATTTAATGAACTTCGGAGATTAGTTGAGATGCGCATAAGCTGGCCAAGACACCTTAGTTTCCAAAAAAANCAACAACAACAACATGAGACTCTAATCAAAACATACTAAAACTCTCATCTAAAGCAAGAATCCTTACCTTAGGATGCTTTAGATTAAAACCCTACTAAAAAGTTACTCAAAAAGCTCTTGGAAATCCTTGGAAGATTGAAGGAATTTGAGAGAATTTGGAGAATGGAGGAGGCGGTGGAATGGGAAATGAAAAGTTCTCAAAGACTAACCCCCCCTAAATATCTCCTAACAAACTCATTCTTCCCATTTTGCCCTTGCTCTTTCTTGGAAATTTCATCCATATCTTTTGATTCCTTACAAACACACCCCCATACTAACATATTCTCCATGAAATTTTCTTACATTTTACTCCCCACTTTTTTTGCTAATTAGGGATAGAATGGTCAAATAGCACCTAAGGGAAAAAAATATCTAAAAGTCAATAAACTTTTCAACCGGCACGTCGCCGCAGCGAAGAAGCTTTCTTCACCGCGGCGAAACTGTCCAGCAGCTTCCCCATGGCTTCAACACCTCTTCGCCACGGCGAAGATTATTCTTCGCCCCGGCGAACCCTGTAACAACAAAAACCTTTTAATTTTGACTCATTTCAAGGCAATTGCTCAACATATCAAAACAACCAAAGACCAACCAACCAACATTCATAAAAACCGACTCAAGTAAGAGCGAAATAAGAAACATTAACTACGTACCACAAGTGGGGCGTTACAATGATCATCAATTTTTAACTCATTTGATTACTGTGTGCGTGTGAATGGATGTATGTTATTATCTCATTTGATTATGGGTTATTGAATTGTAAATTGTTTTTTTTTTTTTTTTTGGTAGTGATTGTATTATTTATAAATAGTCGTAATAGGAATAGTTACATGCACCTCGATTAATCATCAAGAAAGTTATCTTATAACAAGCCACTGTCATAACCTCCCAAGTAAATCATGGATGCAAACCTGAAAATGTAACCCCCTTGGTTCACCCTTACCGTAAAACTATCATGGGTGAGCATTTTATGTGAATTTGAGTTCACTCTCTAAAAGAAAATCTTATTTTACGTGAATTTTGTTAGGATTGTGAAAAAAATCCGATAATCAAATCGAACCTAACCAGGAAATCAGGACTGAAACTAGTTGGAAAAATCGGTTTTTTGGAGTAACATGTTTAGTTCCAGTTTGCAAAATTGAGAAAATTGAAAAACCAATTCGGTTAATGGTTCAAGTGTAATTTTGAACCGATTAATCAAAAGCGGTTTTCCCTAAAAAATTTAAATCAATATATTATATTCATTTTCCCCAAATCTTACCCTAACCCTAAAATATCTCTAAATTACATTTGTTTTTGTTTTTGTCAAAATGTATACTTCTTGTGCTTATGTATGTATTCCAATAATTAATAAACCTAATCTCTAATTGAAAAAATAAAATAGAAAACACTTAAGCCCAAGTTAATCATATTATTCACCAGCCACAAATTAGGTTTAACTGGGAAAAAAACAGTTAATTAAATTTCTGAACAACAATTTTCTCTCCCTTATTGCCATTGTTGGATTTGGGATTTTATCATCTTACTAATACATTTTACCGAAAAGGAAATTGTTATTTGATGATACCTTGACTTACCATAAATTTAAAATAAGTTTTATTACAATGTAACAATTTCATCTCAAGTATCATTTGATAACAATTTCTTTAAATAGGTATCTAAACTAGTGATTTATCTTGTAATTAGTATTTCATTATGATTTTATTTAACATATTAGGTGTAATATGCATTAATCAGGGGATAAAACTTACCGGGATAAGATCAAGTATAATATACAGCTCAAATAATTGGGACAATTATATTTAGAATTAGATTTAGGGGTAATTTTATAAAACCAGTTTACAAACCAATTAACCAACAACCAAACCAATAATTTGGTTCGGCTAATAACCGGTTCAAGAGGTAATCCGATCCAGTTTCGATTCGGATTATCCCTTGAACCGAAAAACCAATTCAGTTCAAAAAGTAGGCAATCGGGTTTGATTAACTAGATTTCCACACCCCTAAAGTTTGTATTAAATTTATTCGGGTACATAACAATACACGAAAAGAATATGAAACATAAACAAACAAAACCACAAGATAGTAGAAAAAGAAAAACATAATCCACTTTTTTTTTTTTTTTGAACTTTATGATTGATCAAGGTTTAGATACAAAGTACTATTTGGAATAGCTACATCCGCAATGCCTACTTGTAACTCAGGTGTTAAGACTTCCCAAAGGCAGGGGAGGATTGTGAAAAATTATTGTCTAAATGTGTCACACTCTAACAATTAAAATGTTACAATTTTGATCTGGAACCACCAGAAGAACAGGATGACATGTTACAGTTGCAACAACCATAAACACAGACCATAGTTTTTAAATTAAAAGGTAAAAGTGTTATGATGGGGATCAGGATCACCCTTTAACACTCAATTATCAGTATGGAAGAGCTTTTGTCAGCTGAAATTTACTTAATTCATCGGCTTTTGTTCATCTTCAGAAAAGTGATAGAACTCGCTCTGTTGGGGTCAAAGTCGCCACACTCTTGAACTGTCATGGCAATTGCAATTTTATAAGGACAGCAGCATATATTGGAAATATCAAACTTAAAAATACTCAGAGCTGCTTTTGGCTGACTTCCTATCAATTAACAACTATGGTTCTAGTGTGAAATCAAAATCATCAAGTCAACAAAAATACCTTTTGCTGTCTGTACTTTTCTCGTATAGCATTGAGCGAGCAACCATTAGTATTCATCTGCAAATCTTCTAATGCAAGTACTGTACACTTCAGTTCTGATGCCTTATAGCTAGTATAGTGCTCTAGGGTTGGATTCTGCAACAAAAAGGCCACAGAAAGATGATCCTAATCAATAGAGAAAGAATGAAAAAGAGAGCTGAATTAAAGAAACAAAACAAGTGCGGACCCATGGGTGCTCTGATTGATTGAGGGTCCATCTGGCAAGGAAAACAGCAGATGCAGCTACGAGGGAAGGAAGAAACTTTAGGAATTCATATTCAACAAGAGTCAACTCTGCTAGATAATTTGCCAAGAATTCAAGTTCCAGACAGGAAACCTGTATGTCAAAAGTAAATTGTCACACTAAATTGTTTATTCAAGGAGTTTAAACCGGGGACATTGAATTCCTTCTAAAATACCGTATAAGAAGCCTGTGCTGCTTGAATGTATCTCCTGAAAACAAAAAAAATGAAGGAATTAGAAAAATGACTTGACTCCATTATAGGTTGTTGGTTGAAGAAGAGCAAAGGTAGAAGATGGGGAAAAATATTACCTGAGAAATGTTTTTGCGGTGGGAACAGATAATTGAAAGTGCAAGAAATTTAAAACTCGACTCTCCATTTCTAACACCTGCCACATAGCTTCAGTCAGAAATCTTTTGACATAAGTTTTAGTTACGAAATAAGGGTCAAACACTTCAACTACACTTATCCCATACATATAACAAGTAAGGGGATAAACGATGAACAAATGCAGATATGTAACATGTGGGGGATTCAAATTTAGAATTTTAGGTCTGATATTACATTAACCATTTTACCTAAAACTTAAATTAAGAGTTAAGGACCCAACACTAACATTAAGTGCTCTAACACTGTTTAAAAGTAGGAAGTCTAAAATAATTTTTGTCAACTCCAAGTAACAAATTTGAGTTAAACTTTACTTTCTGCATTATTAACAATTATATTGATTTTGATACTCAAACGACCTCTCTCAGGTCTACACAGAAGGCTACAACCTTGTCCATTTATTTGTATCTTCTATTAGTTTTAGTACAACTCTTCTTGTTTCCTAGCCAAAAAAAAAAAAAAAAATAAGTGTTTACTTTAAGGCCTTTTAACCTGTTATAAAACCGTTTTCAACACCAAAGGGCGAAAGAGTAAGGTAGTTCAAGTTGATGAGAGACAAAAGAAGGTCAGAAAGGCCACAAGTTTATAGCAAAGATGAAAGATTAAAACAAATCAGCAGATTATACGTCTACTATGTGAATTAAGTTGTGAAGTAAAAGCATACCTCTCCTTTTGTGTAAGTATTATCTGTGATGAAGCAAAATTCTTCCACTCGTGGTGCACAGATTTCTTCGTACTTTCTTTAAGCCATAATGGAACAGAAACACAAAATAGCATCTTGTTACTTGCACTAATTATCTCAAACTTCAAAATGACTTGACAACAAAATATATATATATATATATTCAACATGACAAACTCAAGAAACTTTTGAATGGTAAATATGACTGTAAAAAGTTGTAAACTTATTGCAACTAAAAGCACAACAAAACATGGAACTTACGAGGCAATTAGCATGCAAGCAACACCAAGCAGCTGAAGTCTTTGTTTCTGTATATAATTTTGGGAGAGAAACCGATCAATGAGATTAACGGTGAGGTATAGTGTGTCTGGAACCAGTTTATATTCTTCAGAAACCTGAGAGGTGAAACATAATCCATGAATACCATATGCATAACATCTTGATCATTAAGAAACCAAAATAAATTGGGATGTTATGATAGACTTAACATTTTCTATGTCATTTTCTAGAAAGAAAGAAACAAAATGAATTTAGAAACAAAGAAGAAAAAACTGAACTATTTCGTATTGTCACTTTCTAGGAAGGAAGATCAGTTTTTCCAACAAGACTTGAAAGAATAATATATCATGTNAATTTTGGGAGAGAAACCGATCAATGAGATTAACGGTGAGGTATAGTGTGTCTGGAACCAGTTTATATTCTTCAGAAACCTGAGAGGTGAAACATAATCCATGAATACCATATGCATAACATCTTGATCATTAAGAAACCAAAATAAATTGGGATGTTATGATAGACTTAACATTTTCTATGTCATTTTCTAGAAAGAAAGAAACAAAATGAATTTAGAAACAAAGAAGAAAAAACTGAACTATTTCGTATTGTCACTTTCTAGGAAGGAAGATCAGTTTTTCCAACAAGACTTGAAAGAATAATATATCATGTTTGCATTCAAGCAAGTACATATTCACACTTTAACCATTTGGCTCCACTAACCTCCACAAGCCAATCAATGAGAATTCCCCGCATGTTTGAAGTGATATCTTGCTGCAAATTTTCCATATAAGTAGTTGTAGGTCTTTGGTCAAGCTGAGGAAGGAAGGTTTCAAAAAATCAGCATCAGATATGTTGGTATATGGAAAATTGCTAAGCTAGGAGTTATTACTTTCCCAAGCACACTATCAAGGAAAAGATTGCTGTACAACCAAATTTGTTTGACAGTAAAATAAAAAAAAAAAAAATTCCCGAATTTGCAAGTGGATATTAGATTTTTCAAAGATTGGATAATAAAGATAATAGGTAATGCCATAGTGTAGTCAGCACCAATATGCTTTCAGAGATGGGAAAGTAATATCCACAGCAATAAAGAACATAGAAATCATAACAATGTTAAAATTGTGAATCTGGTGCACTCTGCAGCTAGGCATAAACAATGGTAATGGCATTTACTGAATAAGAGAGTGTCATAACAACAACTTGAAAGTAACAATTGTAATACAAACCTCTTTGACACGTGTTCTATTGTATATATCAGGGGCATACAAGCTGCACACTTGAGGATCTTTCAAGTTTGCATCAATATTAATAATGCATGGATCATTTGATTGCAGGTCCTGGCACAACTTGTCTTCTTCTGCATCATCCAATGAAGACAATGTCACCTTCGTAACATAAATTTAGAAGCATAACATTATGACCTAGGCATTTTCTTGTATGGGAAACTTGAAATTTTCCCTGTGCAGCTTCATGAGATTCTTCTACTTCCAGAAATTGGCCACATGATCAAGTATAGCAAATTATAACTCCATGAAGTTGAAAAAGTCTAGCTCATAACACAACAAACTAAATTGCAGTATTGCATAATTTTCATAATACATCTAATGCATAACCAGAAATAGAGACAGGCAATTTCCTTAAACATTATGCTGGTGCATCACTGCATTCACTTTACACTGCAGATAACTCGTATATCTGTAAATGGTTCTGGGGAAACTAGAAATGACATACAAACCTTTCTTTTGAGGGCTTTTGAGTCTAACGTCTGCTGAAAGAATCATATCTGCTTCGCTACAATCATCAGTGTTGTGACAAATGCTCAGTTTGACTGGCTCTCTTTCTTTCAATGTAGCTGGCAGACTGATTTCTTGTGGTTCCACCATCCTTATTTTGGATAATTCTTCAGCTAACTTTGACTTCACATCATCTTCAGCAGGTATGATTTCTACAGAGACGTCTGCAGCCACCTTTGCTATCTTCTTTGGAGGACCACTGGCAGCCACCTTGGTAGACTGTCAAGCAGCAATATCAACAGACACAAAGTTCGTATTAAGCTTCCCAGACAAATGTTATTATAAAATATGTCATAATTTCAAATTTTGCAGATTCATCACAAAATTAAAATTGATTTAATCACCTGAACTTTAGCAACATTGTTGCAGTTGACGTTTGAATTTTCACTGATGTTAGTAACATCTTTAAGCACTGCCCTTCTTTTATGCTGCAGGCCAGAGGTGGCAGTCGTAGAAGCTTTGTTCTCGTCGGCAGCTCTTTTGGAATTCACTTTATGAGCATGCTTCTGGTCTGGTTTAATGGTAGGTTTTGCAGAGGGGAATACCCCTCCTGAAATCCCCAAGGCTTTAGCTCGTGCTCTTGTGATTCTTGAAGTAGGCTCTTCAACTTTGGCAGCAGTTGCATTTTCTTTATTCATATTTTGCATGCCTTGTAGAAGAGCAATGGATAACTCTAATTTGAAAGGCTGCTCATTGGACCTGCACTTCTATTGCCAATTCAATGTCAAATACCAGGAACAAGAAGCTGGAAGATAACCAAAACAAAGCCATAAGTAAACCGCAATTTCATTAACCCTTAACAAATTCAAGCAAAATAAACCTCCGTTAATCACAAGGGATCACTTCCTCTGCTTAGAAGATACACCAGGGAACCTTATACCCATCTATTACAGACCTCCCTCGCTGTAAGCTTATTATTCAACCACAACATTCATCTCTTATACATTTTATCACAGTATTTATATAATGTGGCAACCTTTCTACTATTCTCATTCTTATCGATAATTGATCAAAGAGAAAACCAAAAAACACTTATTGAAGAATGCAAGGGAATAAAATACAATGTGATACTAGTTGGTATTCAGATATTAACCATCCAAATTCAGGTACCAACAAATGCAAACATAAGCAAACATTACAAGAATTCTTATTCAGTTCATCATATATACATATGTTGGTCTACTCAAGGTACTCTACAGAAATTAAATATGATTTAGCTCAATGCTTGTTCTGAAAGTACGTTATTGGATTCATTCCAAATTCACAAAGTATCGAACACATAAAGAATTTAAATAACTGTATCTTTTTTTTTTTTTTTTTCTTATAACATATAAAATGATGATCCGTCAATCTACTATGTTCTTTTAGACAACTTATGCCAGGTAAGAGACAGTAGCCACCACTCCTTCATCGTGAAACTAACCCTAAAAAATTTGATACGGTCAAAATAAAATTTCATAAGTTATTTTACCATAGAATATAACCCTTCAAATTTAATATGGTGAAAATAAAATTTCATTTAATTCATTTCCTCATTTTTTTTTTCTCATTAACCTATACTTTAAGACTAAATTTTTAACATACATTTACCAAGAGATGAAAATAATAGTAGAATTCAAGTATTTTTCATTCAACCATTAGACCTAAATTGTAATTTAAATATCAAAGATGCAGCTTAATAAATCGAACCACGTCTGATTATGACTTAAGCTGACGTATCTTCTTCAAATTTCGTTAGAAACCAAACAGAAATTTCTCTGTTTGGTTTATTCACCTAAAACAGCCAAACCCTAACCTCTTGAAAATCCGATCAACTTTTAGCATCCAATTCTTCAATAAATACAAAATCAAACGAGAGCAAAAATATGCTCGAGGTGAAATTTTAAACAAATATGTAAATAATCACTATCTTAAGCAGTAACCTACATTAGCCGTTAAAACAAAAAAGAAAACACAAAATGTGTCAAAAAAACAAAAACAAACACACAAAATTTGAAAGAAAAAACGGAAAAACCAAGGCAAAATACAGGAAATGTGTAGAAACACATTCTCCGTCACAGATCTACGAGCTGAAACTCAAAAACAATATCATTGTCTCAACAGAATCTGCGACTCTCAATCCATCCGTAACACCAAAACAAACACGGCCAAATTTTCACAGACACAAAACATAATCAAATAATACAACTAATGCGTAGATATTTTCAAAAGAAAATGAGCTTACTGAGGTGATAGGAGCTCCAAGAACCGGAGTTTAGGTCCAGAGAACTCTGGAGAAGAAGAGAGCGCTTTATTTTTATTTTTAAAATTTCCTTTTGAAGAGAGTAAAGAGTGTGTGTCTGAGAGAGTGTGGTGAGTGATTATAAGTTGTAATACAGGGGGGAGCGTGAGCGGGACGGAGTACAGTTTAAACTTCCAAAAATTATTGTTATTTCCACTTGCGCTTTTTGCTGCTTCCAAGCTGATGTTTGTTTTGTTTTGAGTGTATTTACTATGTGCTATAATTATATAATAATTTAGTGGGACCCGGATGTTAACCGGCAAATCACCTAGCTCAGTTTCATTAAGCAATGTGATATTGCCACGTTGCTTGTTAAAGTCAATGCCGAGGGTGATACTGTTTGACCGTAATATTATCAGTATTTTATCTTTGTTGTAATAATATTAAGGCTTTGTTTGGTTCAAAATTTTGGGTTTTTGGGAAAAGTTTTTTGAAAAAAGTTAAAAAAAAGTTGAATTGGGCGGGTATTACGATGTAAGATTTATAAATTAATAAAATACCCTCTATGTTTGTTTTTTTACAAAACACTCCCTATAATAAAACATTAAAAGTTAACAAAAACACTTCCAACCCACCCTCAAATACGGACAGCCGACTACCACCGTCGGAGGGTGGCCGGAGTCGCTGTAACAAAAACATTAAAAATATTTAGGGGTATTTAATTAAATTAATAAATTTAGGAGGTTTAAAAAAAGTTGAATAAAGTTGAATAATATTATGAGTTTTTGGGTATTGTACTGTTTAACTTTTTTGGGAATACTAAAAGTAGTATTCCCAAAATCCAACCAAACGAAGCCTAAATCTTATCTAATATATAAATTTTTTATCTCAAATTATTTAATCAATTATTTATGGTATCGACGGTTAGGGGGGTTACTATTGAATTGCAATTCTAAAATTCAATGGTTTTGCTATCTAACTTTGAATTTTCAATATTATATAAGGATGAAACTATATTTTAATTTATGATGAATGCATGTCATAATTTTTTTTTTTTTTTCGTGACTATAAGTGTTCGGGTCAGTTTGTACACATCTCAACTAATTCTCAGAATTTGAAGTAAACAATCGAGTAAATTCTCTCAGTGACCACCTTTATTAATGTTTCACTCTATCCATTATTGTACTCCAAATAATATATGCCGAATAAATTAACTTAAATATTATTACGTTTCAAAGACTGATTGTTACTCTCACATTCACACAATTAAGGTCTTTCTGGATTCTGGTTGTTAATTATTAATAAATATGTGTAAAGTCAAGTTGAATTTCAAAATTTCGAACAATTTAATTGAGAATCTTATATTATGGCCACAGGTGACAAAATATATGAAAGAGGAAATGCACTAAAATGAAGATAGAAAGAAACTTTGTGTATATTTGCTGGAGCCAAAATAATGAAAATGGATATGGTCCCAGTTTGGCCGCTCCCTAGTCCCTACCTTATCTTTATCTTCTGCGTACATTTCACCATTGAAATTATTGCAGAACAAAAAAGGAAGACAAAGTTTTGATGACGAGACAAAAAGGTTTAATCTCTTTCAATATATTTGGCCCTCATCACCAAACAAATTAAAAACAACCAATTCTTCAAAATTAAATTCTTTTTATTTACATAAAACATATATGATAGGGTCCCTCTTCAGCTACTTCTACAGGTACGTAACACCAACAACAACCTAAAGAAATAAATAATTCTCAGAGTTGAAAGCCAAAAAGATAGTACAAATATCGTCTCCTCCCTTAAATCTTTTTTAGGGCAGGTGGGGTTTTCTTCTTAAATGAAATCTTTAATTTTAAGCAGCTCTCGTTTCTTTTTCGAGATTTAAAAGCAACCTCCATCTCTTAAATTTTGATTCAAATTTTTGTTTTTATGACTGGACGGATTAATTTATTCATATCTCAATTAATTTCTTAAGACCCTAAAATTATAGACCGGATAAAAATGTCAATGACTAATCTTATTAGCTAGCAATCGAGGAGAAACTCAAACCAAAAACTCCTTAAATAATACATTTAAAAATCTTATCAAACTACTTGACCACCCTTAATTAATTAGGATTTTGCTTATCTCATGAGTGTGTAAAAGGAGATTCAAACGTGATAATGTGGAGGAAGAAGAGCCGTCCCAAGTACAAACCGGAGCCTTAACTACTTTTTTATTTTATATATATATAAAGCAGACATGGTAGGGGAATTTGGAATTGGGGTGATTGAATTCTACTAACCCTAGAATTCAAACTTAACCGTAGCTGAAAGATGAAAATTATAAAATAAATTGAAGTTAAAAGAGATCAGAGCCTCTAAATTCAAACAAAAACGAAGGTGTCAGAATAAAAATTTGATATTTTGTTTCTGAATTAGACAGACTTTGCCTGTATGATACGAAAGCTCAGTCTCCAACAGTCAAATAAAACTTAAAAAATTAAAACTGAAACTGAAACCCAGCGTTGATGTCAGAAAGGTGATTAGATAAATAGATATTTAATAAACAATTGGAGATTTGAGAATGAAGAATGAGCGTAACAAATATTATATTGAGTTTAGATAACAGTCTTGGCCGTAAAGCATGGACTTATGCAATATGTACAAGTATGAACCCTCACTCAACAAGTTTTTTTACATTTTTTCAAATCTAGTAGGTTTTTTTTTTTTTTTTTTTTTAAGTGAACGACTTTTTCTTACCCAAGGTTTCCCTTCATGACATGTTTTCATTAAAAAAATTTCAAAATACCACTTCTCAACCTAAAGTTTATATTTTTTTAATACTCAAAATATATTTCATTGTCTCAATTAGCGTTCGACGAGTTACCAAGAGTTAGAGTAAGAGGAGTTTTGTAAAGTAGAGGTCGATGAATCAGATAGTGATGATCAATTGAATATTTGTCGCCGAAATTAATTGAAAATCAACTAAGAATAAGAAATTTTATCTTTGCGGTGACTGACAATCGTGAGAAATCTGACACTAAAGTGAGAAGAGTATTGTAGAGAGGATATTGTTGGGTGACGACAGAGAGAATTTTTGTCGTCGGAATCGACTTTGGGTAATAACGAAATATTAACTTTGGGTGGGAAAATAGTGTATTTTGAAACTTTTGGGGTAAGGAAAACCTTGTGTGGGTTACTCTTTTTTTTTTTAAATAACAAAGTTGCGGATCTCCAACTGCCCTTGGTACCTTAGTCAAACCCTAAAGCTTAGAGGCATCAAAGTGCAACCACTATCACTCTCTCTCTCTCTTTGGAGTATTGAACATCAACATGAGGGAGACTCAGAATCAGAAACACGTTAATTCACATAGAGAAGAGTAGACAAAGTTGTCCCATGGTCCCGCTTTCATTGACTCTAAATTTAACAAATTCACCAACCATATTTACACTTTTTGGCTTTAATCCACCCCTTCCCCAAGATGTTAGAAAATGGGAAAGCCCAGTTTTTTAATAAATTGTAACACCCTTTGCTTCCCCACCGCATCAAAGGTGAAAATGTTTTGAATCCAAAATTTCCTTTTTGGTGATTCAAAACAATTATTTTTGGCCACATATTTTGCAACTCCGAATCAAAGATTCCAAAAGCAAATAGCCAATAATTTAGAAAGAAAACCCAAGTAATGACTAATGAGCCGACTTATTGCACTAAACAGATGAAAGTTTTTTAAGTTCAAACTAGTGGTTTAAGAGCATGTAATCGCTGTGGTTTTACGGGTATCAAAGCAGGTCTCTTGTCATTTCAGGGCCTTGTGCCTTCCAAATAAGCTAAAACATTTACATGTGTTTATTCGCTTTAGGCTGTCACCAGTGTTTAATGTCGGGACCACTCACCACTAGCAATTTCCTTCCAACTTCTCAACTTTATTGTGTCAGATTCCTCATGTAAAGTCGCTACACTTCTGAATTTTTTTGAATCTTTAACAACTTAACATACAGATCTACTTACAAAGTTCAAGTCATATATTTTAAGTATTTTGTTGTCCAAGTACCAGAAATTCTTGTTCAGCTAGATCAAAGTTGTATATTAAAATCACTTCCAAGATGCATATGTTGAAATCTACTAAATTTGCTAACAATAAACACTCTCCCATTCATAAAATCAGTCTAATGAGAAAGAATGAACAATACTATGTAATTGTTCTCCCATTTTCTTTAAACGAGTCATATTCATGAAAACTCAAGCAACATTTTTTTTTATTTGGTAATTAGGGTGTTCAGGCTAGTTTGCGTGTACCTCAATTAATCATCGAGGTCCATTGAACACCTTATAAACTCAAAGGATTAAATAAGTTACAATGTTAGTGTGGTAGGTGACCCAAAGGTTTAAACCCACGAACTTAAGGAAGAGAGCAAACCTTCTTGACCGTCAGACCAATCTCTTAATGCTAAACTCAAGCAACATTTCTCACCCAAACCATACATAACACCAACCACCTTATTCCATTTCGATTTGGGAATAAAATGAAGGAGCCAACAAAGTAAACAAACAACTTCTCTTTGCGACAGAAGGCAACAATAGTATTAATTTTTTTTTTCTTGCCTTTTCAAGTGAAGAAAATGACTTTACAAAGTATGATCACAGTAAGGAATGCAATGTGATGACTCAAACAGCAGAATTTTGGATTGCAACAGAATAAAGTCTTTTTGATACTGTTTTCTATTCAAATGAAATAGAGGACCTCTTGGAATGATTTTGTTATGAAATGAAACTTTCGGCTCACAATCTAGGATGGAGTAATAAACAACAGAACCTACTAGACAAATACCACTTGTAAATTCTTCTTTTACCCTCTGGACACCATTCATGCGTAGACTATTTATTGCTGTGCTTAATCACAGACAGGGACCTTCAAAAAGGAGGCAACCGACATAAACTAATAAGACAAAAGCTCTAACACTTACCAAAAAATGACAATTCATAGAAGTTTTTGCAAATAGTTTCAAACAACAGATTGATATTCTGTATATAGGTTGGGTTTCTAGGCCGAACATTTGGCCCATATTTATTAATTTACAGGGTTATGATAGAGCTATTGTCCAAGATGTGTTCTCTCAATGTTGATATATTTAGATCTGCTGTTGAAGAGATGAAATGAGCACATATCTAGTAATCAAATGTTCTACACATGGCATTGCACAATTCGTATATCATTTTTAACTGCAGTGTATCACACTGAGAAGTACAGCACACAAACACCAGTTAACTAATGATAAATCCACATAAATATACAAGCATTATTCTTACAAGTTTGAATTGGTTACCAAGAGTCCTTGATGTGAGCAGCAGGTTGACATAGTGTACTTCTTGTCTCTTTATCGCTTCTTCCACTGGGGTATCCTCTGAACAACAACCTTAAAGCAACAATAAAGAAAAAAAATAAAGAGATTAGATCTATTGATCACTATATCAATGAGAGAGTTTTTTCAGCTGCTTAGACTAATCCTGAAAGAATTCCTACAGGAAGATCAGATATTTTTTCTCTTTCAATTCACCACATTAGAAATTTATATATGCCCATACTATGCTTTCCACCTTGTAAGGTTTATGTGCAAGAATAGAGCAGGTACAGCACCTGCCTTCTCACAAATTTATATGATAGTAGATTAAAATCTTAAAATAGTAGCTCATGCTACATAGGGCTAAATTGAAAAAAAAAAAAAAAAAAAACCGCTTCATTGGTTCAAAACCAAGCCATTGCTGCAAGATTATTTCTTTCTGTTAGTTTAGGAAGGAAATGAATTATGAACCAGAACTCTCTCATTCACCAAGGCCAACGGGCCAAGGTATCAATCCTGCTGAAATGGTACTATGATAGAACTTGTGAAGTGGCATGTCACTTTGTTGTTTGTTTCAAGAAAAAAAACTATAGAATGAGACCAATGAGGCCATTGTAAAGAATTTTTTTTTTACCTTGCCAGAGTTTTCTTTATTTCCCACAATAGTTTGACAAGCAAGTCTCCAAGATTCAGGCTTCTGTAGATTAGCAACATAGTTAACTACAACTCAATTTTTCAAAATAAATTTCGTCTTACAGAATTTCATCATATGAAAACAGAATACACCTACATAACAACACAAATGTAAATCACATTACCTTCACCAATCATGCCATCCCATCAAGACATCTTTATCTTCTTCTAAGAACTAACCTTGAACCTCTCTATATAAAGAATATAAGAGAAAAAGACTTGCCTTTTTAAGATAGCGGAGTTCTGTATTTGTTCTCTCATTCAAAAGATCTTTCCCATCAATAATCTGCTAGACATGAACAAATTAACTTTGTCCTTCTAATTACAGAACATAAATACCAATTTTTTATTTTTAATATTCATATAATGTTTAAATCAATGTTACCTCCACAATGCAAGTTCCACAGCTTCCACCTCCTCCACAGTTCATCACTTTCCCCTAATGAACACACACATCAATTCCATTTTCAAACTAACAGAGCAACAGTCAATAAAATAGAGAGACTGCTCTTAAGGCGTCACACGACACCGTATTTACAAAACGACTTCGTTTAAATTTTAAAGCGTAACTTACATACGTGGCGTAAAGCTCGATCTTGTTATCCAACATGATGTTCCTCAACAGCTTCTCTCCGCTTATCGCTTTAGCTCTGTCCACTGGATACGATCCATCACTTTCCGCTTTCAGCTGTCATTAAAAATATAATAATACGAATTCTCATCATTACAGATATAATTAGACACACTAAGTACTGAATTGGAAATTGTTTATTATATAATTATATTAACTTTCGAATACTTATATTTATAATTTAAGAGTATTGATTTAAGTGCACATACACCAATGAATTCAAGCTCGATTTCAGGCTTTTCCAGTGAAGTCGGCGAAGATTCCGGCGAATTCACGGCAAATGACGTAGAATTGGCTCTCCTTTTCGTCCTACAAGTAGCCGTCCTGTTGCCTCTCAAGTAGGATTCTGGTGGCTGTTGAGACACTGATATGGCGGTGAAGTTGAGAAGGGTAGCCATTCGTAATTCTGTAGGATTTCTTTTTAAATTTTTTATTCAGCGGATGGTCAAGGTCCGGTTCTATTCTATAGTAGGTGTCTAGTATAAGGGTAAAACGGTAATTCAAAGACTTGACAACGTTAGGTCGTTAAAAGAAAATTTGTAACATTTTATTTCCGTACAACGAAATGAACGCTTACTTCCACGTTCACAGACGCCGCAACCACACTCTCCTCGCTCTGATCTCGCCGTTTCGCAAGCACTTCTCCGGTCAGTCATGGCAGTCCGTTCCAGGAAACACACTCCTCATGTGTCCTCCTCTTCCACCACCATCACAACCCCAGCAACTTTCTCCGTCCGACCAACCGCACCCCTTACTAGCCCAAAACTTATCACAAACCAAACTCTCTATCATTTCCAATCTCCTGAGAAAACCTAACATCTCCTCCGGTCCGGTTCTCCAGTCGGAATTAAACCAGACTGGCATCGAGCCGGATTCAGGCCTGGTACAAGCTGTATTTGAACATTTCGACTCCTCTCCTAAGTTGTTGCACACTTTGTTTCTCTGGGCCGAGACCAAACCTGGGTTTAAATCCACTGCGACGCTATTTAATTCTATGATTAACGTTCTTGCTAAAGCGAGAGAGTTTGATTCTGTTTGGTGTATGGTGCTTGATAAGATTGGTGAGAATGACGGCTCTGATTTTGTTTCTAAAGAAACTTTTGCAGTTTTGATCAGACGCTACGCTAGAGCAGGTATGCCCCGAGCTGCAATTCGGACGTTTGAATTTGCTAGCAATTTTGACATAATTAATAATTCTGATTCGGCAACGAGTTTGTTTGAAATTTTATTGGATTCCCTTTGTAAAGAAGGGCATGTTAGGGTAGCTTCAGAGTATGTATGTTGGAAAAAGAAACTGGACAGAAGTTGGGTACCATCGATTCGGGTTTATAATGTATTATTAAATGGATGGTTTCGATCAAGAAAGCTTAAGCATGCTGAGCGGCTTTGGTTGGGAATGAGACAGGAGAATGTGAAACCAACTGTTGTAACATATGGTACTCTTGTTGAAGGCTATTGTCGGATGCGTCGTGTTGGGAGGGCAATTGAGTTGGTAAAAGAAATGAGGAGCCAAGGAATCGAGCCCAATCCAATAGTGTATAATCCAATAATTGATGGATTAGCGGAAGAACGCAGATTTGATGAGGCGTTAGGGATTATGGAACGGTTTTTAATTTGTGAACAAGGTCCCACTATGTCCACTTACAATTCTTTGGTGAAGGGTTATTGCAAGGCAGGTGATCTTGCAGGGGCTAGTAAGATCCTTAAGATGATGATTAGCAGGGGTTTTGTGCCCAGCCCTACAACCTATAATTATTTTTTTAGGTACTTCTCAAAATTCAGGAAAATTGAGGAGGCAATGAACCTTTATACCAAGATGATTTCTACTGGGTACATCCCAGATCGGCTTACTTATCATCTTCTGTTGAAGATGTTGTGTGAGGATGAGAGATTGGACTTGGCTGTTCAAATAAACAAGGAAATGAAAGCTAGAGGATGCGATGCAGACTTGGCTACTAGCACCATGTTAATTCATTTGCTTCTCAAAATGTACAAGTTTGAAGAGGCTTTTGCCGAGTTTGAAGATATGATAAGCCGGGGTACTATTCCTCAGTACCTTACTTTCCAGAGAATGAATGATGAGTTTAAAAAACGAGGAATGACTGACATGGTACAGAAACTATGCAATTTGATGTCTTCTGTCCCTCATTCAACAGAGTTGCCAGATACTTACAGTGAAGATAGAAATGCTTCCCGTGCTGCTTCCCTTGCAAGGAGGAAATCTATAATGCGGAGAGCTGAAGCCATGTCTGATATACTAAAGACTTGTAAAGACCCAAGAGAAATTGTAAAGCATAGAAGTTCACTTGAGACTGCTGTATCAAGTGCAAACCGATTGATAGATGATATGAAGAAAAGAGCTAAGCTGATGTGAAGCTATTACTAGTGAAATAATCTTTTAGTGCATTTGAGTTGGAAATTCTTGCTCTCAGTTTGGAAATAATTTTAGAAATCTGTTGTGGAGTAATTCAAGTTTGTGAGTTGGTAGTGCTTAAACATTACATGATTTCCAATTAATGAGTGTGCAGCAATCTGATGGAAGTTATAGATTAAGGAAAAATGTCCAAATACAAATTCATTGGCAGTCATAAACCAGGTTCTCTTATGCAATATGAAAAGGTTTGAAGAACCATCTGCATGGTACTGAATGAAGATTTATTTGAAGCTGAGTTGTGGATTTTTAAGGATCTGAAATGGGCTTGGAGAGGTTGTTTAAATAGCAATCTCTACCCCGATTCCCTTACTCTCTAAATATCTGTAAACAGTTCTTAGGAATCAGTCTCTGGAATCTATGGAGTATGTAATTGATAGCTCTTGATCAACATTTAGTGATTAATTGCTTGCAGTAGCTACAATATGTGTTCCACCCTGGTAACTACTCACCTTTAATTGTTCTTTTTTTTTTTTCTTGATTATTGAATTTTTTTTTATTCATATCTGCATATTCGTTGATTTCGTTCTGTGGGATGGCATTCAAATTAATTGCTTTAAGTAAAAAGAAAAAAGAAAAAGAAATTGCTATGCATGATCAGCTATCTTCCATAATATCAGTGGGCAGGCAAAAAGTTCTGTTAAGAAATCTTTGGAGCCCTTTGTCAGCAGGTTGGGTTAACTATTATATATGTGCTCAAACATGAATTAGCAAAGTTGGATCGATTGTTTTCTTTATGCCTGGTGTAACTATTAACTATTCTTCTTAACATAACGTTTTACAGTGTTTCTGCTTGTTTGTCTTGCAGCTGGGATGTGTGAGGAAAGAAATTCCACCGGGAAAAGTTTGAGTAATAATCCCTGTTTTCTTGTTCGATGATCTGTTGTCTTTCTATTTTGAGGTAACAAATTTTAAAGCCTATACTTCAACTTTGTCATCTTTGTGCCAAACGTAGCAGAGTGCCTTTGTCTTATTATCAGTAAATATTCCTTGTGAATCGGATGCTCTGGTTTTTGAGAACTAATGATTTTGCTTCATCAGCTGTGTCTCTGGACCACCCTTCACTGTCTATGCTACTTCCGGACAGCATACATCACCTTTAGATCAGCCATGTCCCTTAAGATCTGTTAGGAGTATAATAATTTACATACCAGTGTATAAAGTTATACTAGAAGATGCCTAGTCAATTATGTTTGGAGGTGAAAAATGTTGAAGGCATGTGACCTGAATATGCATCTATTTCTGCAATACAAAATGCATTTTGTTTGTATCACTCTTAGATAATGTCTTTACTCTCATTTTTTTGAAGGTACTGACTTAATTAATGCCGTTATTCATCAATGGAGTTGAGTATTCATTCTATCATCAGCTATGCATATTCCTTATAAAAACACTCTTTAAATTTGGAGCATCTGACCCCCATTGGCAAGGAATTAGATCCAATTATATATAATCTATATATATCACAGACTTGACAGAACATATGGTCCACGTGGGGAATATTTGAAGGGTGTAAGAAACACCAACCCATCACCCATGATGTAATCTATGCCTTTAATTCAAGATGTGACGGCATATTATTGGTGGGGTCTTTTTGATTTCTGGTAAGTATTTTGCCTCTCTCATTGCCCTCATCTGAATAAAATTTACAAAAATAGCTTATTTTGCAGAATTGAGATCATTGATACTTGTTGAAATTTTGCATATTATTATTGTCATATGATTAAACAAAGTAGTCACTGTGGAAACAAAGTAGTCAAGCTAACTGAACCTATATTCTTATACTGCTTTTATGAACATATATATATATATATATAAAATAAAGGGGTTCTGGTTGTGCAGTGTCCAGCAGTTGACACATAGAATAGATGTTGAACCAGATAAGGATTTAATTAAGATTTGTATGGATGTAATTGATGATTAGTGTTTATAATATGAACCAGATAAGGATTTAGTTAAGATTTGTATGGATGTAATTGATGATTAGTGTTTATAATATGTTGGTAGTGGAGAAACTGAGAGATTTGGTAGTACTAAGAAAGCAAAATGAGAGAGCATTATCTCATCATACTAGTAGGTGTTTAGTTATTAGCAGATNATATATATATAAAATAAAGGGGTTCTGGTTGTGCAGTGTCCAGCAGTTGACACATAGAATAGATGTTGAACCAGATAAGGATTTAATTAAGATTTGTATGGATGTAATTGATGATTAGTGTTTATAATATGAACCAGATAAGGATTTAGTTAAGATTCGTGTGGATGTAATTGATGGTTAGTGTTTATAATATGTTGATAGTGGAGAAAATGAGAAATTTGGTAGTACTAAGAAAGCAAAATGAGAGAGCATTATCTCATCATACAAGTAGGTGTTTAGTTATTAGCAGATAAAATGATTCATCCAAAAATACGAAGTGGTATCATGTCATTGTGATCCTGTGGACACCCACATATGATTATGAATATGCCAGAGATTGGAATGGAAAAGTGTTGCTTTATTTATTTAACAAAATTACCCTTCAATTATAGAATCCAGTGACCCATTTTAAATATATAATCACAAATTACAGTGGTAAGGCTTCTTAACTTGAATGATATAAAAATCTTGAAGTTAGATTCTTGTCCGACAGACAATATGAGAACCTGGATGAAAACGAAATAAAGAAGGCAAGAATTGTTGAAGCAATTATGCGACATTGAAGTGGTTGAGGTGGTAAAAGAAAGCGAGTGACAAGGGCAATTTTGGTAAGAAAATAAATAAGGTGGTTTACACGAAAGCCAGAGTGGAAAATGGAGGGGCAATAACGGGTAGTGGTGGGAGCAGCAGCAACGATTGAAATGTAGTTCAAATTCGAATCAATCTCTCCCTCACTCGCTATCTAAAACCCATTAATTTCTTCATTCTCCACTACTATTTCTCACATTTTACTTCATTTTTTTTTAAGATCCTCTTGCTTTTTCATCCACGAATTCTAGATTGTTTTTTTTTTTCTTATTAGTTTATTCAAATATTAATTGTTTTTCAGATGCATTTTACAATGAAATAATTGTTTTTTTTTTAATAATTAGGGTGTTGCATGTATCTTAACTAATTTATTAAGTCGATTAAACACTCTATCGACTTAATAGAGCAAGTTATAAACTAATTTTTTGAGACTATTAAACTCTTTGCAAGCTTAATGAGTTAAGTAAATCATAAATATAATCAATAATTATTTTATAAAACTCGAATACAAGACTTATAAATAATTTATCTAAATAATTACGGTCTTATCATCGAATTACAAATCAAGTGGTTGACATAATAAATTTGTGAGCAAACAGGAGAAAACTACAACTAGTTCTATCTTAAAGTATCAAATTAATGATGAAATCTTTAAATGAAGTTTGCGTCAATATTTCAAATAATTAGTATTTGTTGGTAATTAATTTATTAGAAATGGGTATTAATGCCATAATATTCAATATCCTCTCAATCTCACGTCGTATATTAATTTCACTTTCTGTCTGGGTTTCTCCCTCTTTTCTCTCTCTTTGTAAGAAGAAAACAAAAACACACACAACTCGCGCACATACTCGTGCACATACTCGCGCACAACATTTATTCTTTCTCAAGAACAAAAAACAACACAACACCCAGAAAACGCACGGACACAGAGAGAGAGAGTAAAAAAAAAAAAAATTNTATTCAATATCCTATCATTCTCACATCGTATATTAATTTCACTTTCTGTCTGAGTTTCTCCTCTTTTCTCTCTCTTTGTAGGAAGAAAACAAAAACACACACAACTCGCGCACATACTCGTGCACATACTCGCGCACAACATTTATTCTTTCTCAAGAACAAAAAACAACACAACACCCAGAAAACGCACGGACAGAGGAGAGAGAGAGAGAGTAAAAAAAATAATTAAAAAAAAAAAAGGGCCAGTAAATTGAACTACACAGCACAACTGAGAAAGAACCTTTTGCTTTTTAATGCTCCCCTGTTTCTCTCGCATTGAAAAGAGTCTTGATTCTCTCTTTATCAAAAATCGTGTTCTCTTTTCTTTCGTTTACTTACTCTTTTTGTTACTGTTACTGTGTTGTGTTTTGTTTTCAGAAGAAGAGAAAGGAAGCTATAAGCTATGAAGCAACATGAAGTGATAATGGTTGAGATGATGATGTTAAAGAAATGGCGGTGCTGATAATGGCTCAACAAACCAAAACAAATTGTAACAATGCCACTACTGACCAAGTGAAGCCAATGTTATATGATTTTCTGGGCATGAAGCCCACCGATTCTCCCCCTGTCGTTTTGCCTCCAAAACACGCCGTTTCAGAGCCCTCTCCTTCCGCCTCTGTTTCCCTTGGCGCTTCTTCTGGTGTTGCTGATCTCACCTCTGGTCAGTTCCTTTTTTTACTCTCTCTCTCTCTATATATGCATTTTTGTGTCTGCATATTTTTTTTCTCCTTTTTTATGTCTTTTTTTTTTTATCTTTGTTTATTGAAGTAAAAACTTTGTCTTTTGATCTCTAGTTCACTGTTTGTATTTGTGATGTATTAGGTAGCTTTGATTTTCATTTAAGATGTAAAAATCTGTTTGCTGTGTTTGTTATGGATTAGTTTTAATGAGGTCAGTGAAGGGGTTGTTAGCTTTTACTCGGTCTTGTATTTTATTTGGTTTCATTAAAAGTTTCCGTTGGAGTTTCATCTTTAAGTGGGCAAGACGAATTTCACTGAAGAGTTTTAGCTCTTTGGGGACTAAGTTTTTAATTTTTATCCTATTTTCTTTAGCCATTTTCTCAAGGAGTTTGCTAATGTTTTGTCTCCTTTTTCCCTCTAAACAAGGTTGCTTTGCAATGTAGTGTTTCGTGTTTTCGTTTGCTTAGTATTATTACTTCTTGGGAAATTCAAAAGCAGTTGAAAGTATTTACGTCATTGAAAAATTACTTAGTAAAGTATCTCGCTCCTATGTAGATCTCAAGGTGTAATCTTTGTTTAATTTTATTCGTGTTCTTATTCTTTTTACTGGGTTTTCGCCAGCTGCCTCAAGAAGTGGACAGTACTGGTATTGAAGTTTATCTCTTGTAATTGCATTGTCAAAATAGAAGTACGCTTTTGAAATGTTTATATATTCTTGTTTTGGACTAGATATGAAAATCTAAGTTTGATTCCTTCATCAATTTTGTAGAAAGACAGGCTGGAAATCATCTTGAGGGGGTTCCATTTTATGGTACAAGGAGTGACATTTCTGGAACTGAGATAAGCAACAGATTAGTAGGAAGTAAGCGAAGTAACTTGGAATCGGCCTTCATGGGTCATGAATACCCTGAGGGACTGCATTTGATGAAGGTATGTGTTGGCATATATAATGTTCATCTTCTTTCATTCTTATGCAAGTTAAGAACCTCCATTTTTGGCACTAGTTATTATTTTTACTAATGATTGTTGTTTGTGTTCAGCTACTCAGAAATGGGGCAGGAGGAGAACGAACAAGAAGGTCCAATGATGACGAGGTCCTCTGTGGTATGCAGCAATTGAGGCCAACTTCGGCATCTCTTATATTACAGCCTTCAGCTAGCAGTAGAATGGATCCCAATGTTTCTAGATGGGAGCGAACTATTCCCATCAATGCTAGCCCTGCTGTACAGTATCATCCACGTGGGGGTCAGTTGGTGCCTTTTATGCATCAAGTAGTGCCAAACAGGTTCAAGGATGTCAATGCTGGTCCTTCAATTATCTCTCAATCAGCTGCTGATGAAGGATCTAGAACTGGGATTAAAGGTCCTGACATTTTGAGTTCTGTCAATGCCACTGGCGGTGCATCTGAGAAGAACTCATCTGTACTTCTGCAAGGTGGAACCAGGCCAAAGTCTGGGACACTTATTTCAGAGCCAGAGTCTTCTACTCCTCCAAGGTGAATATCATGTTTCAGCATATACTGTGCTGTTTCTTGTTTTCCACTGTTTTGTGTTGAAATGAGCACTTGATGCTGAACATTGTGAATGTGGTACAGTCGACAGGGATTAGCATCTGCTAGCCGGCAAATGACTATATTCTATGGAGGTCAAGCTCATGTTTTTGATGATGTCCATCCAAATAAGGTTTGTTTTCTAGTTGTTTGAAAATACTTTCTGCATTTCTGTTTAATGTTAATGGTTTCTGTTACCTTTTATGTTAAGGGACTTCTGGTGCTTTCTGAGCAAAGATCTATATCAGTTCATATGAGAAAATTATCTGACAGATAGTTATATAATTAATAGCAGCTTGTTTGACTTGTTGCAGTTTCCTATGATTATATGTAAAATTGCAAATTTTTAGTTTCTTATCAAAAGAAAAATCTGTGGAATTGCACAAGCAATGCGCTATGAACATCTTTTGCTCCAAATTGTATAAAAAAGCATGGTTTGGCTTTGATATTGTTTCTACTTATACTCTTGATTATTTCTCTGAAGCCTGCAATGTACCATTAAGCGTCACAAAACAGTGCTTGCACCAGTAACCATGCACATGTTCAAATTTTGGCTATTTGATTGGAAGCCCACTTTTGAAGACTGTTTAGTTAGTAAGAATGTCTGATTCTATTGTTTTATGGTTAAATAATAAATCACGAGCAATGTAGAATATCAAACCTTATAATATGAAGAGAAGTTATGTTGTGAAGCAGTCCTCTGGTGACAGTTTTTATTTTGCTATGTTGGTTCCATCATTAAAGAGTCAGTTTCTATTCTATTTTATAATAACTTTTATTTTTTTTATTTTTTTATTTTCTTGTAGTTCTATCAAATTGAAAGGTTTTTAACTTCTTTACACTTGATACCATCATAAGCTTATTGTTGCAGGTCATGCATTAAGTCACCTCATACTTTCTTAGGTCAATTGCAGGTTTCTCAATCACATCCTCCTTAGTTAAGTTGTCACTTATTTCTTCTAAGGCGTAGTTGTTGCTTAGAAGCCATCAGTTAATGTCTGGCTATATGAGCCATAGGTTTTTCCCTTCTCAAGCTTAGTAACTTCAACTTAGTCTGACAGATGTGAAATTTCCTTGGTGATGCCATGGAGCTGTATTACTGCCTTGAGGTCCTCAGGATGACCTTGACCGTGTTTTTGGGATGACATGTTTTAGAAAGCTTTTAGTTGTAAAAATTGCCTGATTTGATGCCAATCATTACAGTCTGGTGCTTTTGATAATGGAAACTGTAGAGTGTCACTGGATAGGAAATTGACATGTTTCTAACATTGTCAAGTTATTACGATTATTATTTATTAACGATGCAGCCCTTCCCCTTGCACAATCACAAATTAAATTCATTCCCCTTCAAGATTATATGGGTGAGAGTTGCCATAGATCTAACTAACTAGGCTATCCTCTTGTGGTTATCCATATGTTAATGCACAGATGATGTGTACATTCTGAATTTACAAATTTACAGCAAAGGAGGCATAGAAGGTAGAAATGGAGGCAATTAATGATAATGGTACATCTACAAAGCAATCTAGATGGAGAAAGAGGGCACCACTAACAAGCAACCATTCTTAAGGCTTTATGGACTGACCTTGTTTACATTCCATTGAAAAGCTTTTTAAAATTCAAACAAGAATAAAACATTTTTTTGTCTGATTAGCTGATTCTGGTGAAGTCAAGAATAGAAGGGCAGTTTTAGCTTTTAGTAGTTTTCCTCCCAATGAACTTGAATAAAAGGTTGCAAATGCAGTTTGAAGTATGTCCCATGCAACATTTCATGTCATTGTTTATGTGACCTATTTGGTTGCTCTTCTTGTTATTAGGTGTATTCTTACCATTGTGTTAGTTTTTTTTTCTTATGATTGAAGTCAGATGCAGTAACTAATCCTGTTGCAAGATACTTTGGAGCAAAAAATTTCTTTTGGTGTCCAGCAATGTGCATGACCAACCAACTTTTATGACTTCACTGTTGGCATGCAAGTACAAAGTGAGTGGGCTTGCATAAAATTCTCCTACTACTACTGGGAGTTGATTTTATGTAGCTATATACAAATTGCTCCAGAGTACGTGACTTGTGGAGGAAAGTACTTTTTGTGTCTGTTTCATCTCTCACTTTTAAAAAAGTTAATCCATAATATTATAAATGGAAGAGAAAAGTCCATAATTTGACTTTTACCATCCTAAAATTGCTGGCTTAGTATCTGAGATGAAGAAGTCATTTCTTCACTTTAATAGGAGAGGTTTCTCATTTTCCATGGTGAGTACTCAACTTGAAGGGGTGAAGTTAGTATTGCTTGAGGTGCTAGAGAGTGGTTGTCCAGTGTCTCAATTTCCTCCTTTTGAATAATTAGTTATGTTTCATAGCATGAGACAGTGGCTTACTATTTCCTTTACTATGTCAGAACAAAAAGGAGGTTTCTGAAGCAACTTAAAATAATCAGTTTTTGGTGCTTGACGGGCATTTTAATAGCTACTTTAGACTGGAATCGTTTATTTAGACTACTGTGGGATGTTTGTTAAAGTACATAGTTTGCCAACTTCTAGGTTAGACAGTCGAAGACATGCCTGCTATATCCATAAGATGGATTTCTTTCCCCGCTGATTTTGACACACTTTTGTTGTCTTAATATTTTATTCTCGCTGTTTGACGATGAAATCATTATTTACATTGCAAGCGATGACTACCTGGTTGCTGCCTGATTACTTTCAGGCAGATGTTATAATGGCCTTAGCTGGATCAAATGGAGGATCGTGGTCAACAACCTACTCACCAAAATCTACTGTGAGACCTGTCGGTGAAAATTTCTTGCCCAGTGGAGATCCCGAAGCACGTGTGGCAGGTACCATGGCATTACCACAGGAACTTCGTGGGAGGTTATCTGTGACGGGTAATGCTAGTCATGGAAGTGGCTCTGGTGACAGAATTTCGACAGCCACAGGTGATCCTTTATCTTTTAATTATGTTGTAAAACAGTTTGTTTATTTTCATATAATTCATAAGCAGTTATGGTCATTGATTGGTGGAATGTAGGTTTTACAAGAAATCCAGTTCAAGCAGCAGAGCCTAGTACTGAAGAGAAAAGAGAGAAATAATTAACGTTAAAGAGAGTAATAGGAAGTGTAATGTTGTTAAAAGAGATTGAAATTAGCAGAAGAAGGTGTCTCTGTATTGTGGTTTATGCTTCAAATTTTCTGTTGTTTTAGTGTTTTTTGGGGTAAAGAGAAGGGAGAGGTTTGTTCCATCTTTGTTTACAGACCCAATTAAGCTATCAATTCACCATGTGATTCAGATACAGATATTTTCAAGCTGTATGCATTTTTTATCATTGAATTGGAGTGCCACTTGTAATACTGGCATGGTGCTGCCACATTTGAAAATTAGAGGAGTAGGACATGTCGTATTTGAAAATTTGAATGGGACGACCTTGATTCAGTTTTCAATTGTTACCATGATCCTTGAAACTTTTTTATGGTGATAAACATGAATTAATATTTTCATCATAATTATTAATTTAATTGATGATTTTTAAAGGAGGATATTTCAAACTTTTCATTCCACATCATATTTCAAATCATCATCGAATGAGTAACGTCACAATCTACTCTTTGCTTTTTAAAACCTCTACAAAATTAAAGGAAATTAAAATAATTTGATTTTTTTTAGAAAACCAAAAATTCAAAAAACACCTTCATTTAAAATAAAAATCTAATTTGAAAACCTTAAACTCAGCATTTAAAGATAATTAATTTTAGTTTTTTAGTTTTTTTTTTTTTTATATTTTAATTTTAAAAAATATATTTGAAATTATATGCCCTGTTTGTTTCACTATTTGGAATCATTTTTATGTTATCCTATTTGGATTAAAAAACAGAATATATATCTGTCTACTTATTAGAATCATTATTCTGAAAATCAATCCGAATCAAATTTATTTTTTATCTACATTTTCTAGAAGTTGTTTGATAGTTTTATCACTTAAAGATCAAAATGGGTATTTTCTTCTTTTACCACGAAAATCTCACGGGGAGGAAAAAGTAATTTTTTTCAATAATTTGGGGTCTAGGTGAATTTTCTAAATTCGAGGGGTTTTAACCTTTCTTTTGCTCAGCATACCCTCTTCACCTGTGCATTTCTGAGAAATTTAAAGCGAGAGTATTGAATCCTTAGAACATCATCCCGCATAAATCTCAGTCTCGCCTTGCATTCTCTTCACATCGGGGTGCTATTGCGGTCAATTAACGGCCGTTTGGCACCGCCGAACCTCTTTGCCTGCGCATTTTTCACCTTACTGTAAGTTCAATTTGTTGTTTTGATTCTAGACATTAATGGTGAAAATGGTAGAGTTGTACAATTGTATTATTGAACCGTTGCATTTGATAAAGTTCTTAAAATTACTAAAACATTATTGGTATAGTTTCTGATGCATGGAACTGTACAGTTTTGCAGGTTATGCCGTTGTGTTTTTGATGTTGATTGGGTTGTTGTAAAGAATGGTTCGTTGTTTATCAGGTAGATTATCAACTAAGTTATTAAATATATCAATAGCATCTTTCTGCAAAGCGCAGAGATTGGAGAAAGCTGAAGGGCTTATAATTGACGGTATAAGATTGGGAATACTCCCTGATGTTGTAACTTATAACACTTTGATTGATGCTTATTGTCACTTTGTTAGCGTAGATGCAGCTTATTTTGTTCTTGACCGAATGAGGGAAGCGGGAATTAGCCCAAATGTTATTACTTATAATTCTTTGATAGCTGGTGCCACCAGGAAGTGCCAATTATCACGTTCATTGGATCTGTTTGATGAAATGCTTCGAATGGGTATACCTCCTGATACGTGGAGTTACAACACGTTGATGAATTGCTTCTTTAGATTAGGTAAACCGGAGGAAGCCAATAGGCTGTTTCGTGATATTTTACTGGGTGATTTGTCTCCCAGTGCAGCTACATTTAACATCATGATTAATGGACTCTGCAAGAATGGCTATACAAATAATGCCATGACGTTATTTAGGAAATTGCAGGCATATGGATTTGTTCCCCAAATAACTACATATAATAGTCTTATAAATGGGCTTTGCAAGGCAAGGCGATTGAAGGAAGCAAGGTGTATTCTGAAAGAGCTTGGGGAATCAGGTCATTTTCCAAATGCCATAACGTACACTACAGTTATGAAATGCTGCTTTAGATCTAGGAATTTTGACCAAGGGTTTGAGATATTGTCAGAGATGAAGAGTAAAGGATTTACATTTGATGGATTTGGTTACTGTACAGTGATTGCTGCATTAGTTAAGACAGGTAGGATACAAGTGGCAACTGAATATATGAAGGAGATGGTTAGCAATGGTATTCAACTTGATATTGTTTCTTATAACACCCTAATTAATTTATATTGTAAAGAAGGTAAATTAGAAGCTGCATTTAGGTTACTGGATGAGATAAAGAAAAGAGGTTTGGACTGTGACGCTTATACCCACACTATTATGATTGATGGGTTGTGCAAGGCACGTAATATCAAGGGTGCCCAGCAACATTTGGCATACATGAATACAATGGGCTTTGATTCAAACTTGGTGGCCTACAACTGTGTGGTTGATGGGTTGTTCAAAGTTGGTCAGATTGATAATGCAATGAATATGTTTGAATCAATGGAGATAAAGGATTCATTTACTTACACCTCTGTGGTGTACAACCTTTGCAAGGCTGGTAGGTTTCATTTTGCATCCAAGCTCTTAATAATTTGTTTAAGAAGTGGCATGAAAATTCTGAAGTCTGCTCAACGTGCTGTCCTTGATGGTCTTCGTGATTCTGGATATATAGCAGAGGCAAAGAAGCTTCGGTCTAAAATTCGTAAGGCCCGGTTACTACATCATTGAGTTGGATATGATCATTGTGTTGCGAGCTGGAAGTTGGTTTTTACTGCCAAATTTGATCTATACAAAGATCCAGTTTGTTTGGAGTGAGGTATTCAATGCAATGTATCTCTGCCCTGTTGTTGTTTATGAACATCTTTTGTTTGAGCCAACAATGCTTACTGAATCAATATGCATGGGTTATCTAACAATGGATGTTACTTTGCTGAGAAAGCTGTTTGGCATGCTTCCTGAAATGCGGACAATCTCCAGGAAATTGTATAGTAGGTAAACCATAAGTTATGGTTCCTGCATCTGTTGATGAACTTTCAACCCAAATTAATGCCGTTATGTATGCATAACTGGTTGATAGACTTCCTTTGAGTTCTCGAATTAAAAATCAAATATTTTTAAAAGGTAGCATATTAGTACATTTATTTATCTATTTCTTTAAAGGCATTTCTTCTTCTTTAGTTGCAATGCAAAAAATTTTAATCAGAGTGTTGTCTTGATTCTGGCAGGTGCAATGGTTGGTATTATTGTAAACCCTCTGTAAACAAACCTCAATATATTTGACCACTATTGGTGAGGAATTCTGTTAGAGGTCCTATTTCTGGTGAGTGTAGTGATTATTTTCTGACCCGAAAAGCTTTAAAAAAAATTCATTCTTGTTGGTTTTATATTTTTGTTTGAAAAACAAAAAAGCTTAGGAGAGTTGTTGTACATGCTGGCTTTATAATATGTGATTCTCTGAAGCAGAATGTGTCAATTTGTGATACCAATAAATCCTCTAAAGATTTATATGGTATATGCGTCTATATGATTAAGTCTCTGTTGATCATAGGCCATTTACCTTTGCACAAGCTGCAGAGCTTTAGGGGGTTGGTAGCTGCTATGGGAAGTAACTTCCATATATGTGAGGTTATTTCAATTTCAGTAACTAAATATACATTTTCTTGAGATATTGCTTCAGAGGTTTATGACATCTTTTTATCTTTAACAAATTACATGCCTTTATGGGATTTCTTGGCAACGCATTTGCAGAACAGTTAATGGCTGATAGGAAGATCTGTTTATAACCATAGAAAATAATATACTAAAAGAGTTTGTTGGCTAGGTTCTGAAATGCGTGATTAGGGAAGCTGCTTAGAAGTATTCAAGAGTAAACTTGATAGGTAACTAGGTAAGAGTAGTGAGAATTAAGCCTGTGAAATGGTGAGGCCCTTGATTTCTTGCTGTTGGATATAGATATTATATATCTGATGAATTGATATGGACTAACACAAATTTTCCATTATGTCTTTTTATAAAAATGCGGTACATAAGTCAGTTTCTTGAATGATCTTATGAAACTGACTGACTATATTAGCTGATCGATTGATGAGTGGAAGATCAGAGTTTTTGGAACTTGTTAAAAATCTTGGGTCTATAGAGTCCAAATTAAGCTTCCTGGCAACAGCTGTAACCTCTTCTTTGTTCTTATGGGCTGCAGGATTCTTCCGGACTGTGAAGTTGTATTGAGAGCTGCAGCTGTCAAGCAGGGATGATATACAAGGCATATTCCTTACATGATTTGCCAACATTACTTTATATTTATAAATTCATTAAATGATACACAGTACAAATACTCGGTTTCAAAGATGGAAAATTGTATCAGTTGAAACTCAAATTTTACCCATTAGATTCCAGAAATGCTGCTTCTGTGGGTTAATTTTAGACAAGGAATGTTCATTCATTGTAAGTTTGTAACTGTAAATAGTATCATAATGAAAATTTAATCAGATTATCAGCGTATCAGTCTATTGTAGCTATTGAATGCCATGAAAACAAATTTGATTATTAAAATTGGGTTAATTCGCAAACCAAGTGAGGATTGTAACATGAACAGTGCTGATCTGGGTTACAGTGTTTGATTGAAACTAAAGATGAAAATTTGAGGATGACTTCCCATCTTTTTTATCAAGATTCCTCGTTACTTAAAAATAATAAGGTAACTGATTTGAAATTTCCCCAATGGTGAATATGTCTTGTTGCTAAAAAGGTTATTAGGGTTTCAAACTCCAAACATGGAAATTAAGTATGTTTTAATCATGACAGCGAAAGAATAATCAATAATACATATACTACCCAAAACAGTTAAGTCTACTAACTAGAGAGTCTGCCTTTTGCTCTTGATCTTGGATGAGAAAATTGCTTGAAATTGCATCACTGAGCAGACTTGTTTGAGAATCGCCATGGTTGCCTCATTGAGATGGGCAAAACTTCATGCAGCGGAGTTGTTGATGTTTGGCAAAACATGGATTCGCCATAATTTGAACAACTGTCGATACTTTCTTCCCTGAAGCCAAATTTTTCCTGTGTCCTCAAACCCATATTTGCAATTGCATGTCCATACCCCGAAGAAAAACCTCCATTAAGAAAAAGATTATTTTTAATATTAACCCCAAAATCAGAGTTACTTCCAACAGCTGCTGCACAAACTTGTTGATTAGAGGAGCTTTCACCACCTAACAAAGGAGAAGGACGCATTAATGGTTGGTAACTCTGTATATTAAGAATATTTAGGTCTGACTCTGTATTATCTCCATTGTAAACTTGAACTGCTTTTTCAAAATTCTTGGTTTGGAGCAACCTAATTTTGTCCCTCAAACTCACCAACCTTGATTCCAAGAATTCAAACAAACACACCAGTTCCTTCTCGTCTGACAACTCCCTCAACTTTGCTTCCCAACTTGAAAATAAGTTGTCAATGTCTTGGTTGGATGCCTTAATTTTCTTTACTTCTCGCTTGATTTTTCTCTCTTTCTTATTTTCCACCTTATTGTTCAGTTTCTGTTTCTTCCTGGTCAAGAAACCAATGAGGTTGCAATTGTGCTTAGCTTTCTGTTCTGCTCTCACACTGAGTGGTGCTTTCACCTCATTGATTAAGTGAAGAACCTCTCTCTTATTCTCTGGCCATGTTACCACCTCCCCATCATGACCAAAGCACACCATGCAAACTTTAACATCACATAGTGTTTCTAGCTGGGCAGCCTTGTTCTTCAAAGTTGATATTCTTTTATTTAACTTCTGGGCAGAAGCCATTTTAACACAACAAACAAGAGGAAGAAGAAACAATGCCAATAAATCAGATTGCAGCACGGACATCAATATATAGGAAAAAAATCACTTTATTCCTAATTTGGTTTTGATTTGTTTTTATTATTTCCTCTTTTTTCTTATTTTATGAAAACTTTTATATATATAATTAATATGTATAAATTTATTGAAAAATATCAAGTTTATAACTAAATCTCACAACCTTTTCTTACAACTCTAATATATCTGGCAGTGTCACATCAGCTCTTACTCCTTAAAAAAGTCATTCCTCTTGTAAAGAATGAGGCTCCTTTTGGCTCATTATTAGATAGGTTTTAAAATAATCTTTTGAAAAAGATTAAATTGGGTGGGTATTACGATGTAGAATTTTAAAAATTAACAGAAATACCTATATATTTATTTATTTACTAAACCCCGATAATAAAATATTCAAAATTAACAAAAACATCCCCAATCCACTCAAAAATAAGGACAGTCGGCCACCACCGCCGGAGGGTGGCCGGAGTTGCCTTATCGGCTTATGACCGGCTCGATCTTACCGGTCATGCACCGATATGGTCTTTTCCAGCCAGATCTAGCTCTATTTGGTTGTCAACGACGGTCAAAGATACGGCCGTCGTTGATGACTGTCTACGGCCAAAGATCTAGCCGTTGACAGTCAGATCTTTGGCCTTAAATCTGGCTTGAAAATCTGGCCGTGGATCTGGTCTGAAAAGGCTAGATCGGCATATTATTGGCCAGATTCAGCCGGTAGTGCCCTATTACACCAGATTTCGGCCAGCTTCCGACAGTGGTGGCCGGAATATGGTAAATTTGGGTTATTGGAGTGTTTTTGTCAATTTTTAAAATTTTTTTTGGGGATTGTTTAATTAAATTAATTTTTTTTGTAGGATTAAAGGAAATTGAATAATTTATAAAACTATTTTGAAAATAGGTGAAATAAAGTTAACTTTTCTGGGAAAACTTAGTTTTCCCAATATGTGAACTAAACGGAGTCTGAATGTTCCCTTATTATGAACGGTCATTAAAAATGATTATTTCTTATTTATGATCATTTTTCTTATGAGTAACGATCATTCATTTATAAGAAATAACCATTCTTTCAGTCTAATTAAAATCATTTTAATGTGACAGCACTAACGTTAAAGGATTATAAGAAAAATCGGTGAGAGAAGACGATTGGGTAGCATTACTCAAATTTATCCTATGAAAAATTTCAAATCTTGATGAACGTTATCATCCATTACGAGGGCTGTCAAACTCAACAGAGACGTTGGGCGGCTTTTTTGGGCCCCCGTTTGAAGTTATATTGGGCTGAGTGATGTAATATTAGAGGAAGCAGTGGCAGGTAAACAGAAGAAGATAAACATCGTTTATAGAGTGAGGATTTGATTAAGAGTGAGTGATAAGTCATAGAATAAGACAAATTGGTTTGATTGGTAACTTTAGCTTCGTCTTTTCGGTCTGCAAATCCTATATTTTATATATTAATTCTTTGTAATATGTGATGACAAGAGCAGTGATAGGGTACTCGACAAATCTACACTTACACTGATTGAAATTAGCATCACGAATTACATATTGGTTTTTCTTTATAATATTAATATATAATTCTAAACGTCAGTTCAGGTCAGGTCAGGTGAGGTGGGTGGTTGTAGGTCTTCTTCATCACTTCCAAATCTTTATATTTTAATATTAAGGATTTAAAATCAGGTTGAAATTTACATGTTCGTTTTTCTGATAATAATCATAAATCTATACTTATGAATGAGATTATATTATATTATCTACAAAGAGAAAAATTCTTGTTATTTCGTATATATACATTATATATTCAACGTGAAAAATGACAGTATAAATGAATTTTATTCTACCAAGTGGAGTAGTTGTTAATTCATGGATCATGCAAGGTTTGATTTCATGATTCTGGATGATTTAAATTTCTTCGTCTGCGTTTAAGTTTCTACCACAACAACAGCAACAAACATATTCCAAATTTCTAAGAAGACAAAAGGGTAAGTGTGTTTGAAAGCTATTTGAGCAGTTAGCAGCATAAACAAGTAAACAACTCCTTTGAATTTGAATTTGTTCAGAAAATTTCTGCACTCATCATGAATTACTTGACCCTTAGAATAGTCTAATGAAATGTGTGTATATTATTCTCCTCTCCACAAGGTCTCTCTGGCTCTGGTCAGATATATAATTCATTTAGTCTTACAGGTAGGTGTATATATTTGGATTCTAGCAAGTGTGTGAAATTCAAGGTATTTGCAGGGCCAACAAAAAGTAAAAAAGAGAAAAAGAAAAATGGCTAGCCATGTAGTTAGTCTTCTTAAGGCACTCCCTCTTCTGACTTAAACCAACTATCGATATCTCAATATTCAAGCTCTTCGCTGGCACTCAAGCTGTCGGCAGATCAAAAGCAGGTGCCACGGATTCATACGGTAATGGCTAACTTGGTGGCTTTCAATTGGTATTCATTTTAATTTAATGGTGTTCGTCCAATGTATATGTACAAAAAAATATCCCATATTTGGAGATACAAATATTCTACAAAAAAAAGATCCAATTTAATCGAAAACTCAACCCATGTGGGTTACTAACAGCTTATAGTGATGACAGGAAGAAATCATGGCCGGGTTTAGGGTTTGCGAAGATCATCAATCCAAAAAAGAAATGGGGTGAAATATTATTGCATATAATTAATGTAATGAAGATTAAGATAGATTTTTTTTGGATAATTTAAAGGGAAAAGGTTACCATGCTCAAAGTGGAGACGGGTGGGATGGGCCGAAGTTATAATCATAGTATATATATTTAATTTGCGTGTACATAAAATGGTAATGATGAGCAAGAAGAATCATATATTTTGTTTGAAATCTTTCTCTTTCTCTTTTTTTTTTTCTTTTTTTTTTTTTTTTAGGTTTAAATTCTTTAATTTGTCCACTTTTGTCCAAGGGAGGACTTGACAATCTTGAGTTACATATGAGATCTTAAGTTCAAGCTTTCCAAGCATTAATAATAAGAATGATTATTGAGATTTTTATTTGATTAATAATTCTAGAATTTTAGAGATTAGTTAAGGTGTATACAAACGGATNTTCTTCATCACTTCCAAATCTTTATATTTTAATATTAAGGATTTAAAATCAGGTTGAAATTTACATGTTCGTTTTTCTGATAATAATCATAAATCTATACTTATGAATGAGATTATATTATATTATCTACAAAGAGAAAAATTCTTGTTATTTCGTATATATACATTATATATTCAACGTGAAAAATGACAGTATAAATGAATTTTATTCTACCAAGTGGAGTAGTTGTTAATTCATGGATCATGCAAGGTTTGATTTCATGATTCTGGATGATTTAAATTTCTTCGTCTGCGTTTAAGTTTCTACCACAACAACAGCAACAAACATATTCCAAATTTCTAAGCAGACAAAAGGGTAAGTGTGTTTGAAAGCTATTTGAGCAGTTAGCAGCATAAACAAGTAAACAACTCCTTTGAATTTGAATTTGTTCAGAAAATTTCTGCACTCATCATGAATTACTTGACCCTTAGAATAGTCTAATGAAATGTGTGTATATTATTCTCCTCTCCACAAGGTCTCTCTGGTTCTGGTCAGATATATAATTCATTTAGTCTTACAGGTAGGTGTATATATTTGGATTCTAGCAAGTGTGTGAAATTCAAGGTATTTGCAGGGCCAACCAAAAGTAAAAAAGAGAAAAAGAAAAATGGCTAGCCGTGTTGTTAGTCTTCTTAAGGCACTCCCACTTCTGACTTAAACATCTCAATATTCAAGCTCTTCGCTGGCACTCGAGCTGTCGGCAGATCAAAAGCAGTTGCCACGGATTCATACAGTAATGTCTAACTTGGTGGCTTTCAATTGGTATTCATTTTAATTTAATGGTGTTCGTCCAATGTATATGTACAAAAAAATATCCCATATTTGGAGATACAAATATTCTACAAAAAAAAGATCCAATTTAATCGAAAACTCAACCCATGTGGGTTACTAACAGCTTATAGTGATGACAGGAAGAAATCATGGCCGGGTTTAGGGTTTGCGAAGATCATCAATCCAAAAAAGAAATGGGGTGAACTATTATTGCATATAATTAATGTAATGAAGATTAAGATAGATTTTTTTTGGATAATTTAAAGGGAAAAGGTTACCATGCTCAAAGTGGAGACGGGTGGGATGGGCCGAAGTTATAATCATAGTATATATATTTAATTTGCGTGTACATAAAATGGTAATGATGAGAAAGAAGAATCATATATTTTGTTTGAAATCTTTCTCTTTCTCTTTTTTTTTTTCTTTTTTTTTTTTTTTTAGGTTTAAATTCTTTAATTTGTCCACTTTTGTCCAAGGGAGGACTTGACAATCTTGAGTTACATATGAGATCTTAAGTTCAAGCTTTCCAAGCATTAATAATAAGAATGATTATTGAGATTTTTATTTGATTAATAATTCTAGAATTTTAGAGATTAGTTAAGGTGTATACAAACGGATTCGAACATTCCCTCTGATACAAAATATATATATATATAAATTGTGAATCCCATCTGGTAGCTTATTCATTGAAGCTTTCTTAATTTTATATTCAAAATTTTCCTACTTGTTGATGAGAAAACATGTCCACTTTTGTCTAATGGAAGACTTGACAATCTTGAGTTATATGAGCTCCAGAATTTGAGTTCCTATATATATATATAAATGGCGAATCCCATCCGGTAGCTTATTCAATGAAGCTTTCTTACTTTTATATATTCAAAATTTTCCTATTTCTCGTAGACAAAACATGTCCCAATTATCTACAAAAGCCGCAGTGAAAATTAGCTAAACCTCCTTATCATTGTACAAAGAGAACTGTTGGAGATGCCACCAACTTTCTGCAAAATTTTGGTCTCTCTTTTGTCTTATTCATCCCCATCATCCCATCCTTACAAATCCACAAACAGACATCAAATAAGTTCAACGGCCACCCTCATCCAACTGTATCATCTTAACCTAATATCTTTTTCTTTATTGTGATTAATCTCTTCCTATATATATATATATATGTACATCTATTATTGCACTTAACTAACAAGTACTGCTACTTCTCTTCTTCATCGTCACAAGAAAACCCTAAGCCTTGATAATAATACATATCTCTATCTCTGTACCTTCTTTACTTTACTTTACTTTCTTTCTCTTTTTACATGATATAATGAGTACTCTTTCTGAAGCTTACAGAGACTTCCCTCTCCATCTCCACCACATCATCCCTCTAGACTTCAACTCCACCAGGGCTGTGCCTGAATCTCATATTTGGCCTAAGTCTGATGATTTGATCTCATCCCATGACCATCCTTCACTTCCTGTTATTGACCTAAATGATCCCCAAGTAACGCAGCTTATAGGCCATGCATGCGAGACATGGGGTGCGTTCCAGCTCGTTAACCATGGCATTCCTTTGAATCTTCTAAAAGACGCCGAGTCTGAGACACGCCGCCTCTTCTCTCTCCCAACTAGACAAAAGTTGAAGGTCTTACGTGCTCCTGGAGGAACTACTGGATATGGCATCGCTCGTATTACTCCTTTTTTCGCCAAATATATGTGGCATGAAGGGTTCACTATCATTGGTTCACCATTTGATCATGCTAAACAACTTTGGCCTCATGACCATGCACAGTTTTGGTAAGTCCATGCACGTTCATAAAATTTATTCAAAGCTTAATTGGATGAACAAAAAAAAAAAGGGATTAACTATTATATTTTCAGATGTATTTAAAACGATTTACGTATATTTAAGTATCGAACTTATTTGGCAGCTTTTTGATTTTGGTTGAAAGTGATTTTCTGGAGTTATAATTAAGCAAAGGATAAAAGTCATTCATGCATTATAATTAACTCTCTGAAACTAATCAAAATCTTGAAGATGGTATTTTCAGGAGAGTCTTTCAATTAAATATGTTACACTGTATAAGTAACAATCTGAAACTCTCTTGAAAAGTTGCATAAAGACAGTACCTTACAGCTAATTGACATGACACTTTATAATATATATATATACATAAAATCAAGATGTTAGTCATACAGATTATAGTTTGAAAAACAAAGAAAACAGACATGCGCTACTGTGATTGTTGATTTTTGCATTCTTGCTTATTTTAACAGTGACGTCATGGAGAACTATCAGAAGAAAATGAGGATTCTAGCAGAAAGATTAACAAAGCTGATCTTCAAATCACTGGAAATATCTGAAGAAGAGTTAATCTGGGTTGACTCAACTACTGCTTTACAGCTCAACTCGTACCCTTCCTGCCCGGACCCAAATCGGGCTTTGGGTCTGGCTCCACACACTGACACATCCATGTTAACGATTCTACATCAAAGTAGCATAAGTGGCCTCCAAATTTTCAAAGAAGGGGTTGGATGGGTCTCGGTGATGCCCATTGCTGATGCACTAGTTGTCAACGTTGGTGATCTTCTTCACATTCTATCAAATGCTCGATGTCCTAACGTTCTTCACCGTGTCTTAGTGAGGGAGCGGCATAGACTGTCGATGGCTGTCTTCTACTGTCCGCCAATGGATTTTAATCTTGTCCCTGTAGCTAAGTCAGGCCAAGCTCCTAAATATCGTTCAGTGACCGAGAAAGAATTTATAAGCATAAAGGCAAAGCATCTCGAGAAAGCACTTTCTTTTATTAAACTTTAACATATATCTTAAATAAGAATGTGTGATGAAGAAATTCCCAGTTGTTGAATCAGCATAGGTTGATAAACGTCTGTAAATTTCTAAATTTATGAAGAAATTCCCAGTTGTTGAATCAGCATAGGACTCAGAAGTACTCAATATATAGTCTTTGTTGAAGTAGTTTATTAATGTATTGATGTTGGCTGAATAAATGGATAATGACATAGTTGTAAATTGAGTTCAATTATTAGGTTTAATTTTGGATATTATAGACTGAAAGGGAAGCATTTTTACATACAGACAAACGTCGTTATAAAGACATGATGTTCACAAAACAAGACTTTTACAGAAGTCTTCCATTTCACGTATCATCTGATATTCTATGTTAATCTTCTAAATAGTCTTAAATTTGTCTTGTATGTAATTAATTATTAAATATCTAAAAAGTCTTCTTTTTTTATTTTATTTTAATTATATAATCCCCAAATTGCATTAATTTATTAAAACACTTGCATGTTTAAAACATATGAATGGAATATTTCTTCCCAATTTTGGTTGATGAAAAACAGTAATCTTGAATTCTCAATTACAGTGAAAAAGATAGACACACTTTTGCAATGATAAAAATCCCATTAGAAAAGGACGAAAACCAAATATTTTGGAAGGATTCTCTTCGGACTCTCTCATGATATTGATATGCACTGTGGTCAACTAAAGCCTAATAAACCAAACATGTTATGCCACCTCAGCTCTATTGCAACTGATGTGTCATTCTCTGATTGGATTGCCCCCTCTCTCTCTCTCTCTCTCATAGCCTGCCCACACTTCATGTGGTGGCTGGAAATGTGAAAGACAAAGAGTTACGTACGTCAGTTTTTTCTTGAACCGGAAGTACTAAGGAATCTTGAAAAATCAGGGTTTGTCGATATTTGAAACATGCCAGGACAAAAACCCCCATTTCTATTTCTCCAGTTGCTAATATAGAAAGGGCAAGAACAATTGAAGCATCCCAATTTAAACTTTTTTTTAACCACAGAAAAGAGAGCTTTGTGCCGAAAGGAAACCAACTTTTTTTGCATGTACTTTAGAGCATTTTCTTTTGGATTGGACCACTTTCTTCCACTTCCATAGATAAGGTTCATATGATGGCAGCTCTTTCTAATGTGAAGTGCACATGATTTCTTTCAAAAGTGATTTCTCTAGTGCTAGCCCAACTGGATAAAACTTAAAGCAAAAACAATAAATCCCACGTTTGTTTCAAACAAAAGGCGTTTCAAGTGTACAATAAATGACAAACTTGAGCCAAAATATGCTCACCTGTCCCTGTGTTTATTCCCTCATCTGTTTAAACAGTTCCATGGGCATCAAAATCATGTACCTGGACGAGTTGCATACTTTTCATTTCATGTTCAATGCATATATGGGAAGCTTGGAAACATACCGTTGTCTGCATTTTACTCTATTACAAAAGGGGTGTCGAGAAAGTGTCGTTTACATATATCCAAACAAATTAAATGACTTTTCATTGAGATCTCAAACGATTTGTGCAGAATCACTTGACTTTAAGTTGAAGATCAGCTGTTTCCTCAAACATGACAGGAGATCCTCCAAGGAATAAGACAGTCCATTGTGGAAGACAGGTTATATGAATAAATCAAGATTTGCTTTATCTTTGAGTAAGCAGTAATCACATGACAATTTTGTTAATAGCAAATATACAAATGAAGACAAAGGTAAAATTAGCTAGACAGGGAAAGATTACAAAAATATAGATTAAGAAAAGAATGTTTTTAATCACATCAACTTTTAATGCCAACCAGACTCCCTAATTTAACAGCATGCTATCTACGATTATTGCAAGACTGACGCTCAAACATCTCACCTTCACATGAGACAGCATGGTTTCTAAACAGACCTTAGGGTTCGAAGCCTCTCATTCTTTGCACATTCCTCCTGAAAATCATAAAGCAGCAGTATAGAGACTAGAGAGTATCAGAAATTTTGCACTGACCAGTATGATAAAAACATTCCAGTAATATTACTTTGTTGTATTTCTATCTTCTGTTCGTAAGTCTCCAAAGATGAAAATGTAATGATAGGAAAATGGGATGCATATTGCATAGTCCATTTACCAAGATTTAAATTTTAAGCAACAGAATAAATGCATATCAGAGCATATAAAAGTATATCAGAGTATACTTTTGTTCTCGTTTCAATATACTTGGTTTTTGCTATCAAAAAAAAAAATCGGAGTATACATATAAAAGTATATTCCCTCAAACATTCAACATGTTCAAGTGAATCAAGTCCCTTATTCATTAATGGGAATTGAAGGCATGTATCAGCCACCATCTATCACCAACAATATACAACCTGATGAGAATATCTTCAACAAAATAAATTATAATTATAGTTGGCCTCTGTTTCTAATATATTACAAAAAGGTAAATGTAATACTTTTCTATTGAGGTGGCCTTGCCTTATTTAGAATCTACATCAGATGATATTTAACAGAGAAAAATGTAAACTATGATATGTAATACATTCTGCTGTTATAGATAAAATCTTTACAATAAGTTAAACATCATAATTAAAGTGGTTACCTGAAAAGCTTTTAAGAGAGAATGGCAACGTCTTTGCTCTGCAACTGCTGCAGCATGCCTCTCCTTGAGAGCATCACAAGCCTTCTGCTCTTCTCTTAATCCTAGTTGCACCTTCTCTAGCTTCTGCACAATAGAGGGAAAATAACTACTGCCTCAAAGTACCAAAGGTATCTTCACGAGATCAAATGAAGTTAAAAAGAAAATAGAGGATGTAAACCAGCTATTTGAACTAAGTAAAGTATAATTTATAGGTTAAAATATGATAGAGAAAATGAAATGATGTCATTCCCAGAAAATCATCCTCGGCCCAAAAGATCAAAATAATGCTGTTGGTGCCCAATTCTCAATTTTGTAGACCATAATCTTGAAGTCTAAGTATATCAACCAACAGGTTCCTCAGCATCTCCTAAGGAAATGAAAAATGAAAAAAATTACCTGTTGGCTGCCCTTTACAATTTTCTCCATCGAATCAATTAGTTTCATGCGACCAGCAGTGCTAGTAATGGCATCTTGAAACTACAGAAAGGTAGGCGAAAATTAAGTCAGAAAAGGTGAGGATCACTTGGTCATATACAAGATCTGTATTCTCCTATGCAGTATTATACACATTCTAGTTAAGTGAATTAAAGAAGGATTGCTAATCCCAAAGAGGGCTACCGTAAATTAGTGATATGAAGTTTCAACCATGACAAACAGCTAAATCTGTAGTTCAAACAAAAACTCATTAATTTGGCTTATACCTGTGAACTTATAGAGTTCAACAAAGAAGTTTCCTTCAGCATCAACTCTTTAATTTCCAGAAGAGCATTATAGGTAGCATAGTATTTCTGGGTTTTTTGATGTTTTTCCTGTATGTTTTAGCGAAAATTAAACAAGTTTTGTCTATAAAAGGTACTAATATCAACACATATAAGCAAAGATACATTCAACAAAAACATATATTCTGTTCTCAAACCTGGATATGAGTATATAGTTCCGAAAATCGCCGTTCATACCTACAAAGAGCATGTAAGAAAAGAGGTGAAAAACCCTAAATGATCAATAACTTACTCATTCCATAAGGAACCATATATTTAGAAAGGAGGCACCCAAAATTTCAAGCCAGATATGATGCAAAAGTCCATCCCCATATTCAAGTAATAGAGAATAACTCTCAGGTTGAACGGAAATTTTATAGAACAAAACAGCTATGACCAATTATTCATCATTAAACTATAAAATAGTAGAGAAATAAGATAAAAATTCAATTTCGATCAGTTATAGCAAAATAATGGTTGACTATTCCTTAACAGTTACCTACTAAAATAACGTTTAGTTGAGTTTTTATCACAGTGCAATAAATGTAATAGAACTTTGAGACAAGCCCATGAAAAGAAACATACTGGATGAGTTCTGAATGTGATGGTACATCACCAAGTTTCCTCTTTACACATAGAATATCCCTTAGTCTAGCAGCAAGCTCCTATAAAAAACACACCACATTATAGTTTACATAACAATTTAGAATGAAATAATTGACAATTTAACTCATCCTAAGATAATACGTACCCTCTTAACTAAATTCAGTTTCTCAATTGATTCATTTAAATCATCAGAGAGACTATTACTGTCATAGCCTGCTGCCAATTTTGTCTCCAATTCAATAACTTCAGCTTCCAATTCACAACGTTTTGCATTACAATTAGACTGCAAGTCAGATTCTTGCTTCTCCAGGGCCTGAAAAAATATCTTCCGAATAAATTATAAAAAGAAAAAAAAAAAAGTAATGCTAGAAAAATAATAAAAACATTAGAGCAAAAGATACCCTCAATGACTCTATAGCTGATTTCAATTTCTCAACTATTTCATTAGCATCCTCCTTATTGATTCTCTCTCGCAAACATTGAATCTCAGTTTCAATGTCAAGATTATCAATTTCTGAAGCTTCAAGATGGTCTCCAATTTCCATTGATTTAAAAGTTGATTTACTGTGGATTAGAAGAATTTAGAGACATAGGAAGTTTAACACATATCGGGACGCTGAGATATCGGCTTTCTAGGCGTGGGCGAAACAGCGGGAATTCGAGAAGATAGAGGACTGGCTGAAGATAACTCGTGGAGTCGGAGAAGAGCTCGAACTCAGCCATGGCGCTTTGACTCGATAGAGTAATAGGCCGTGTAGTTTGGGCTTCTCTGAATTTTGTTTCCCTAATGGAATGGGCTTCAAGTTTCAAGGATCCGAAAGTGTGAACAGAAATGAGGGCTGCTCTGGGCCCATTGAGCTGAATGAGTGGTAGCCAGATGGTGGCCCGTGTTTGCTAAATGTCCAATATCGATTTCGATTAACACATCTGACGGCCCATAATTCATCATACAATAAGGATTTATGTATTGAAACATGCAGAAGTTATATAAAGCTTGAAATTTTGAGTTGGTTGTGTTGTGATAAACCCAAGATTCCCAAACTCAAAACACCCAATCTCACCCAATTAATCAAGAAATCAAATGCAAAAACAAATAAGAAGACAAGGACTTTTAATGTGGTTCACTTACCCAAATTGGATAAGTTACATTCACGTTGAGTTCCAGTAAACTTGGGGCTCACTGCACTAGAGATCAAGATTCATTACAAATACAACTAGATTCGACTCAATCAAATCGCTCACTCCTTGTAATCCTCTCAAAGACTCACCCGTAACCTTTCTTATATGAGAATACTCACCAGATCCTCACAACCTAAAGGAAACACAACCCTCAAACACAATTACAACAATTGCACCAGATTACAAATCTATGAGAAACAAGAAATCAGAAAACCTAACAAGGAAGAACTCAATCGCAAAAACAGAGAGTATAGCAGGCTGTGTGATTCGACTTAATTGCATTCTTTTATACTTGCACTGTTGGAGAATCTTTGCCATTAGATTTTGCAGCAATCAACGATCAGGATCAATCTTGGAGCTTTAGAATGAAACGATATCATTTAAGTAATGCCCAACGACATCATTTTGTGCTTCACCATTTAACATTCTCTACCTTGAAGCTCTGTTGATATCTTCTTCAAATCTATGACTCCTTGAGCCACTAAATCCCTTACAAAGTGGAACCTTACATCCATATGCTTTGTCCTTTCATGGTAGATAGGATTCCTACTCAGGTGGATTGCACTCTGGCTATCTGAAAAAACAGTTACCTCTCTATCAATCAACTCCACCTCAAATAGCAGCCCCTTAAGCCACAATGCTTCTTTGAATACATTTGCTACAGTAATGTATTCTGCTTCCGTATAAGAAAGTGCCACAATGGGTTGAAGCTGTGACTTCCAACTTATGAAATTTCCTCCTAATGTGAAGTAGAATGAAATAGTAGACTTTCTTGTGTCCCTGTCCCTTGCAAAGTTAGAATCTACAAAATCCACAGGATCAAGTGTATTTCCTCTTTTCTTATATTCCAACCCAACATATATTGTACTATTAATGTATTTTAATAACCATTTCAATGTTGACTAGTGTTTTATACCTGGATTGGACATAAAACGACTAAGAAGAGAAATAGCATATGATAGGCCAGGCCTAATGCTGATCATTGTGTACATAATAGACCCTATAACATTAATATAAGTTACCTTTTCCATTCTAATTACTTTGGCATTAGACTTGGGGCATTGAGTCTTACTAAGCATAAAGTGGCTAACTAAAGGCATGGAAACCATCTTAGAATCAGACATTCCAAACTTGGAAACTAGTTTCAATAGGTAGGAGTACTACTAAAGTTTAAGTTCACAGCCCTCCCTGTTTTTGTCAATCACTATCTCTATGATCCTTTTAGCATTTCCTAGATCCTTCATATCAAACTCAGAATTCAACCTTGACTTTAAATTAGTTATCCTAGATTTTGATTTACTAATTAACAGCATGTCATCCATATAAAGGAGTAAGTATACAGACATATCAGCATTCAAATCATAGTAAAAACAACTATCATATTCACTCCTATTGAATCCAATGCTAGTAATAAAGGTATCAAACCTTTTATACCATTGTTTAGGGGCTTGCTTAAGCCCATATAAAGACTTATGCAAAAAACACACATGATTAGGGAAGTTTCTGTCAATAAAACCCACAGGTTGTTTCATGAAGATCTTTTCTTCTAAGTTACCATGTAAGAATGCAGTTTTTACATCTAACTGCTCTAGTTCTAAATTAAGATGTGCAACTACTGATAACATAATCCTAATAGTCTTATATTTTACTACAGGGGAAAAGATTTCAATGAAATCAATCCATTCCCTTTGTGTGTAGCCCTTTGCTACAAGTCTGACTTTAAATCTAAGTGGATTAGAGGGACTCATACCTTTCTTTACCTTATATAACCACCTACAATCAATTAGTTTCTGATTTTTAGGACAGGGCACCAAGGACCATGTCTCATTTACCTTCAAGGAGTGCATCTCCTCTTCCATGGCAGCTTGCCATTTATCTTTATCTCTGGACCTTATAGCTTCATCATAGCTATCTGGTTCAGATCTTTGAATTTCAGCACCTGCAACCAAAGCAGTATAGATCAAGTCAGCATATGAATACCTGGCAAGTGGTCTAATTTCTCTTCTGGTCCTATCCCTGGTCAGTTGATATTGGGACAGTGAATCATGTTGGGGCAGTTCTGGATTTTCTGCTGGATCATCCTCCGGCTCATGCTCCAAATCTGGTGTTGCAGGTATTTCTTCTTGATTTTCCAATTCAGGTTGAACTTTGACCTACTCCACCTTAATTTGTGTCCCTTGGTATTGGTCCTAACTAATGGCATCACTGGTTGAAGCACTTGCAGAATTGTTAGGAGTTTTACAAGGAAACAGATTTTCATTAAAAATTATGTCCCTGCTAATAACAATTTTGACCCCTAGTGCACTTCTTTCCCATAGCCTATTATAGGAATTCATGCCTAGAAAGGGTAAAATTGGTGTAAAACATGGTATAAGGTCATATGACATGTTATTGACACTAAAAGGGTGAAATTGTTATCTTTTATGCTTCACAACTTTTGTAACTTGAGAAGGAGTTCAAGATCTTCAACAAATTTGATGAAAATCCTCAAAGTAAAGTCCACCCAAGATGAAGAAAAGAGAGTCTACCATGAAAGCTCAAGAGAGAGATTTTCAATCTAAATGAAAATTAGATTAAATTTGGGAATATCACTTATTTATACACAAGGACAATTTTTGAAATTGTTCTCAATTCCTTGAATTAATATGAATCCTGTATTAACACTTAATACAAATTCAATATTATTTTCAAGTCCTTGAAATAATTTCAATTTAACATTAGCTCTTAATATTAAATCATTATTGATCGTAAGTCTTTGAAACAATTTCAATTTAATATTAACTCTTTAATATTAAATCATTGATTTAAACAAATTTATAATCAAGGCATATAAAATAATCCCGTTTAATATTTAACCCATTATTGAACCCAATTCAATATATATTTTAGTCCATCATTGAATCTAATCCAATAATGATCAAATTACCTTATTACCCTTGGTAAGTGCTAGCTTCCCATGAGTAATCATTTCTTACCAATACATAAATTCGGATGCACATGTTTATATGTGAACATCGTTAACCTTTAATGACATGTATTACTCTCTCTTCTTATACTTGGTTTTTAGGTGAGACCACTTAGGTTCACTGTAACCTAGTCGTGGGCCAAATATCACAACCCGATATGTTTCGTCATAGCTCTTTATGATCGAAACTCCCACCGATCATGGTAGGCATCTAACAAAATGTTCCATAACCCCTAAGCCACAATGAAGTTAAACTCAAATGAACCTTTTTTTTTTCCCGATCGTACGTTTTATGTAGGAAAATCTCTTCGTTGTCTAATCATGATTAAGTATAGGTTTATGGTATGTCAAAAGCCTTAACTTAATCTTTCTCCAAATTGTCAATCAATACAATGGAACGTGTCATCATGAAACTTCTTTTCATATGACTATTTTGTACTCTGGCCAGAGATTTTTTTTTTTTCAATGTTTATTGACATTTGTCTCGGAACTCGGGACCAAACTATTTTGAGTCAACGGATCCCATCTTAATCATCATTTGTCCTTGCACATGAATAACATATGACCAAACCAGCTTCTTACACAAAACATGACTAGTCTCATGTATATACACCATATGAATCATATGCATCCTATGTCGAGTCCAACAGTAATGTCTCAGGTCTAAGGATTAGTGTTATACTAGTACGATCCTACGATGTATCATTGACCACATTTTAAATGTTTATGTGATTCATAGTAATCGGTCATATTCGATAAACAGTTCACCAGTCTTTTATTCATGCTAATGCCTTAGTGATATACCTCTTATAATCGTCCACACTAATGCCATCATATGATATTCAATGGAGGCATTCAGCATGCCTACTATGCAATGTTATTGCCCAATTAACATTACTTATGTAGGGAATGCTTCGATGATTTGATCTTCTAAAGATCCGTCTCATTCGGACATTTCACATGCATTATAAATAGTATAAATGAAGCAGTAATATGAAATCAGAACTCTTTCTTCCATTCTCAAAAGAGTATTTACAAGATATAATGTTTTGAAACCGATACCACGATTGGTTTCTAGGGTATACACTAACACCTATACCCCTTAGTTCCCTCTTGGTATCCTAGGAAGACACATTTTAGAGACCTAGGTTCTAGCTTTCCCTTACTGGTATGTGCATAAGTAGCACACCCAAACACTCTAAGATGACTTAGGTTGGGCTTCCTATTGGACCATTTCTCTTATGGGCACATAAAGTTAATAGCACTTGAAGGGCTCCTATTAACTAGATATGCAGTCGTGTTAAAGGCCTCTCCCCAAAATGATTTTGGCAAACTTGATGTGAACAATAAACACCTAACCCTTTCTAACAAAGTCCTGTTCATTCTCTCAGCCACTCCATTTTGTTGTGGAGTCTTCCTAACAGTCTTATGTCTTAATATCCATTGGTCACTACAGAACTGATCAAACTCATAATTATAGAATTCTAGTCCATTGTCAGTCCTAAGGGCTTTGACTCTTTTATCTATCTAGTTTTCTACCAACAGTTTCCAACTCTTAAACCTAACAAGGGTCTCATCTTTGGTCTTA